GTCCAACCATCCACCTATCACCAGCAGTACTCACTAAACCATGTCCCTCAACACAAAATCCAAACGTTCCTTGAACACCTCCAGGCTTGGTGACTCCACCACCTCCCTGGGCAGCCCACTCCAGTGCTTGACCGGTCTTTCAGAAAAGTAGTATTTCCTAACATCCAGTCTAAATCTCCCTGAAGCAAGTCTGAGGCCTTCAAGCAACAGCCAGCTCTGTGACCACTACTGTGGAGTCTCTTCATCTCCAGATGAAGAACAAAAACAGCCAACCTGACACAATACCAGCATGCCAGGGCTCCCTTTGGTGCGCTCACAGCAACATCACTAAAAGGCTCAGGTGCCCACCACTATATCATCTGTGTGTAGTCCCCAGACAAATTAGCTGTGCTATCCATTAACACCTTGCAGGCTTGCCTGCAGGATAGCCTCCTTTCCCATCCCTATTTCTCATGAAGAGGTAGCATCTCTTCTGCATGGATTCCCAAGAAAGCAGACAAATGTGAACTTGGCCTCCTTTCAGCAGCTGAGTTTGGGAGACAAGAGGGCCCCACTATAGGCCTTGGGTCCTGGAGGTAGGGGTGACTCAGCCTGAGGATTACGAGGCTACTCAGCGGATGCTTGAAAACAAGGCCACACTCTCTGTGCAGGCACAGAAAGAACAGCAGCAGATCAGTGAAAAAACTTAGAACTGTTCCTCTGGAGAAGCAGAGGACTTCAAGTCAGGTAGGACGGAGTGCTAGAGTGCAGCATTAAGGTCTGTTCAAGATGATTCATTAGGAATTCTTTCCTAACGGTAATTTCCAGGAAACAGTATTTCCAGGAAATGGTATTTCCAGGTAATGGTAAACAGAACAGAAAATACGCTCTCCTCTCTTACTTGGTACTTTCTGCATCTGGACTCCTGCATCTCCTTTTGGTCTCCTCGGTACAGGAAATATATTGATGCATGTGACGTGAGGACTTTCCAGATGGTGAAAGGCTGGGGTATGTGGCATACAGGGCATGCTGAAGGAACACTTTTGATCAGCATGAAGATGATGAGGCTTAGGAGAGGACCTGATTGCTGACTAAAGCTGACTACTGGAAGCACGTAGAGAAGATGAAGCTTGAGTCTTCTCAGAGGTACTCTGTTGTGTAAGGACGAGCAGCACCAGGCCCATGCTGGTATGGCAGATGAAGATTCCCAGCTAAATAAAAGGAAAAAAATGTAACCATGAGGTTGCTCAAACACACAACAGGTGCCCAGAGAGGATGTAGAGAATCTGTCCTTCAAGGTGTTCCAACCGGACTGAACAAGTCCTCAAGCAATCTGATTTGACTAGGGTTGCTTTGAGCAGGAGACTGGACTGGAGACCTCTAAGAGTCTCTCCAACACTGCTTCTGCATTTTATCTCACAGATTTTCCCTATCTTCACAACTTTTGCAAAATTCTTAGAGATGCATCTTTTTGTCTTTCTACCACTTCCACTACTCAAGCAGGAATTTGGTGCTTAAGGCATCGTGGCAGAAACAGACAGATTCACCATCTGGCTCAAAATAGGCAGGAAAGTTGTTCTTAGCCAAATGATACACAGTTCAATCCGTGTCACTGGACAATTATTACTGTTTTTTGCAAATTCATCACCAAAGGAATTAGAAAAGTAATTCTAAAATCTACAGGTACTTAATAGAAAGATGAAATTGCAATGCAACTCTAAAGAGACAAACTGCCATGGAAAAGATCTTGGTTTGATCCGGTGCTTGCTAGGTAATAACTCAAAGCTCAGCGATGCTTCAAGCTATAGAAATTATTTCCTTATCTCCCAGCTTTTCCCTAACCTTAGATTGGAGACAGATAGGAAAGGACACAAAGCAACAGAATTTACAGGAGTATCCCTGGTCCCTCACAGTGTACTAGTTACATGCACTTCTAGCTCTGTGCGTGTGCTATGTCCTGTTGGATAGTGATGGAGCTGAAGAGTTGCTGACTTTTGACTAAATCAGATCAAACACACAAGTATTTTGAGACTGCATTCACATTTGTGTAATGTTATCAGAGCCTAATGATGAAAGCAACTACAAAGGGCTAATTGTTTGGTAATTCATAATACAAATGCAGCCCCAATCTACCACCAAGCATTACCTACACATTTGTATGCCTTTTCTACATGAGCTGAACAAGCCATTACTAGGATCTTACACCTCTAACAACAACTAATCTTAAAAAGGAAGAAAGGATAGCTGCTACGTTCTAACAAAAGAACAGACCTCCAGTGGCAACTGCTTTTTGCATGGCAAACAAATCAGTCCCGCAAAAAGGACTTGAGAGTTTTGGTGGATGAATCTGGCTCTATAATTCTAAATTCTGCATGCATCAACACAGAAAATTGCTGGGTACAACCTTCATCTACATACTGAAAATAACAGTAAGTATTCAGTGGAATACAAACTAATCCAGAAGAATTATGAAAAATAATTTGGTAAAACTAAAAAAAAAGATTAAAAAAAAAAAAAAGAATCAAAACAGAAATTCTCAGAAGCTCTTCAAATAACTCCTATAAGGCATCAAGCACAACCCACTCCAAATGAAAAAATACAAGAGACTGATTCAAGCTATGTTAGTGAACACACAGATTCAGCACCCTCTCAGTTTTTTAAAAATAAAAACATGTGAAAAGTAGCTTCATATCCCACATTCTGCAGACCTTACCTCCCATCACATTACCAATTACTGATGTACACTCTTTCCTGCTCTTTTTCTTTCTGCTTCTCTAACATCTTTTTTTTCTTCCCACCAATTCTCAGCACTGACAAATATCTTTGGTCATCTGTGTAACAGACCCATAACCTTAAATCCCCTTTAATACAATATTCTTTGCAGAATACCCTCGCCTAGGGAAGTTACAATCTATTTTTTGACACTGTTCCCATCCACCCAGAGACACAGTAAAAAGAACAATTTGTGAGACAAGGAAGTTTCAGCTTATAAATCTGCCAACACCTTTCAGAAAAACAGAGATGTTAACCACATGATCAATGAAAACTCAACAGCAGTTTCTCAAGAGAACGGCTAATAATTCTCTGGCAGAATTATTATTTGTTTTTTCCATGGAGGTCTCTCCAAAAGTAATGCCTCCTATTTATTTCCATGGAAACTATGATGAAGAGCACAGCAACAGTATTTGCTAGAGCAAATTCTCAGCTACAAAACACTATTTTTCAACACAGTCACAGTGCGTTTTTGCGAGTGACGAGCAAGAGCCTGCTCATAAATATCTGCACGGCCATCTGGAGCACGGCTTGTCTTTCATGTCACTGTTACCCCTGCTGAAACACTCCACCAGCCATCTCACTGTGCTCACGTCCACTTTATGGTTTCCATCAATGTTCAGCAATCGTTGATGAATGTCATCAGGCACAAATTTTTCTACATGAGGAATTCAGTGACGCACCTTTGCTTCATATACACTTCCATGTCGGACGCCATTCTGCTAGACTGCCCCTCTGCTGCCATCTGTCACACAGCAACAAAATATAACGGAATATTGGTGGGAATCTTCAACCTCTACTGCCTTATCACCAACATCTGCCTCTGACATTGTGGGCCAACATAATAAAACAGGAGGCATTGCTTTTGGAGCAGTCCTCATACCTAGGCTGCTCCTTCATTTCAAACTGCTAAAGCACTATCACTGTTCAGCGTCTTACATGATCTAATCTTTAACTGCACAGCATACCTAGAAATAGCTTAACTTCAGTAACAAAAAACAACATTCACTTGTGTGGTACATAAAATCATGGAATTGCTCAGGGTGGAAAAGACCTTAAAGATCATCGAGTCCAACCACAACCTAACAATACTACCCTAACCCTAACAACCCTCCACTAAACCATGTCCCCGAGCACCACATCCAAATGGTTTTTACACACATCCATCACCTCCCCGGGAGCCTATTCCAGTGCTTAACAACCCCTTCTGTAAAGAAGTTTTCCCTCATATCCAACCTAAACTTACCCTGGCATAACTTGAGGCAGTGAGTTTAATGCATCAATGGTTTAAAGTCTATTCATGTTTTGTATATATAGCACTGTAAGAGATAGTTGTACAGAACTTAAAACAGACACTGTTGGCTTTGTCTAGTCCATCAATGTTTTGCAAAATGGAGCTATGATATAAAAAATGGATTTACATAAAGTATTTATGCTACTAATGTTAAAATTTCACACTGTTAACAGGTGAACAGGTATTACTGTACCAAGTCAAAATTGCTTTCTTGTAAAAACTCCCTGCAGAATACAAAAACATAAAAAATATTTCTTCAGTAGTAGTAATAGTTTGTAGTAATTTAGAATGGTAGTAATGTAAGAAGGATAACTAAGCATGAAATGATGTGGATGCACTACACAGGTACAGCAAAATAGTGTTTCAAGTGAGGTAAGGATAATGCTCCCCACTTTTCCACTTTGCTGTAGTTTGGCAGACACAGTGGAGAAGTCTTGAGGAGATTATGAACTGGGTCCCCAACAGACAAAATTGAACTGGAAAATGCACACCAGGAGCCAATCTCACACAGTCCAGCTGCACATGGGTACTTAGTCCCCAAGATTAGACTAAAAATAGTTGCAAGTAACTCACTCCAAAATGAGCACTGTCCTCTATTTCAACTACATTACTGTATGAGTCTGCTCATACAGAGCTATATTAGCTGTTAACACCATCATAGCTGCTGTCACCATGCTCACAGATGAGTTTGGACTGTGATGAGTGGATTAGTTTGCTTAATAAAATACTAGCATTCACTACAGCATCAACCTCTACATTTTCGTTTCAGGTAAATCCAATCGAACTGCTCTTAACAATCAAGGTGGGAAAATGATCAATGCTAGATTCTTGAAAAGAGGAGATCAGTAACTCGTGTCTTTGAAAAATGAGCTGCTGTAAGTAACAAGTATTTGCAGTTGAACACTTTTTTTTTCTTAAAGAATTATCCAGAAAGGGCAACAGATCAGGAGCATACCTTATTGCTTCCTCCACAGATTGGCCAACTATATTTGAGGAAGGACCTGGTTGAGACAGAGGTGTCAGGCTTATGACCCACTTCACTGGCTTGTAGTACTCATCACTAGAACTCAATAGGTAGAACAGTGTGGTCAGGAAAATCACCTGCAAAACAAACAGGAGTTGTAAATTGAAAGACAATAAATACTTTAAGAACTACAACATGCACATATTTTTCAGAACAGTGAACTTGACTGAGAAGGTACAAACTACTATTCCACAAGCTTGGAACACAAAGAGCTAGAAGAGTAATTCCACTCCTGCTCCACTAAGGACTTAACTAAACAGCAAACATCTTTTAGCCCTTTTCATCCTCTTCACAAAGTCAAAGTCTAGATCAAACAACCAGATGTTGATCTATATTGATCAACGATCTAGACTGTTTTTGTTTTTCCAGAAGAGATCTATATAGCAGATCACAATATTACTAAATAGTAACACCTATTCTTAAAAACAAACAAAGCCAAATAAACTGAGTTGTTTGGGGAGTTACTGTGTGGCTGGTTATAGGATATAAATTAACCAAAAACCCATAAATAGAACATCTACAGTTTTTATTTGGCTGAGTATCCTCTCCTATGAGTTTGAAGATAATTTTGGCAGAAGCCACAGCAGTTTTACTCTTTTAATTTAAAGACCAAACTATACCATGAAATCATATTAGTTCCTGGTATCTTGCAGTTTACTTGTTTTCCTGTCAATGGGCTCAGCAACTTCTTCAGCTAAAGAAATATACATAATATACAAAAATACAACCAGCTTGAAATAGAAAACCTGAAACAAAAAAAATCCATTCTACTATATGCCACTGGTAAAGTATGGGTCATATTTGCTTTATCTGCAAGCCTTACTTCTTTTCTCTGTCTCCAAGATTAAAAAAAAAAACTCTCACTTTTCTTATTTTCAGCCTACCAGCACGTAAATGAAATCCTAATCTTCTCATAAACCAAATTGTCTGACCAACAGAATTCTCTCAACTTTCAATACCTTATTCTGTCTGCAGACGCATTTCCTCTGCACTCTCTTTGAACGTGTTCAGTTAAAAAAAAATGCGAACAGTATAACTTGCAGTGTTAAGTTACTAGCCTCAACAAGTCCATCCATTTATCATCTCTGTTCCTAATTCATTTCTACTCAGTAAAATGTTACTGTTTTTCCCCTCACCATAACCTTTAACTTGGAAGTCACATTCAATTGTTCACCCAATACAACCTCTTTCCAAAACATCATGTACAGACAGGGACCGTACTCCATCTTTCTGACTATTTAACTTCGGCCTTGATGATAAATCAATCTATCAGCTAAAGCAAGTCACTATTTCAGCCCATTTGATCAGCATACTGTTAATATTGATTTTGAGATCATAAAAAACAAACTAAATCAGGCCCTGATTTAGTGGGAAATAACCGATCACCAGTAATAACATCAGCTATATTTTCTTACAACTGCAAGTAAATTCTAAAACCTGAAACACGTTTTAGCATCCTCAGTAATGCTGTAAACATGATTGTTTTCTTCTTGGTAAGACATGCCATTTCTCCTGAGCTACTACAGTGTTTTCTTTTGTAACTACAAAACTCCCTATCCTCAAGGAGGCACCCAGATACTGTTTAGTCTTCCTTCAGGTGGGACCTGGCTGCAGATCCTCATGGCAGTGAAACTTGCAACAGAAAAAGCCGTGTATTTCTATATGAACAATATCCTCTCATCTTGACACTCACAAAAAGTACACTGAAAAATGGCTCAATTAAATCTTGTTTTATTAGTACAGCTACAGTTAAATTCTTAGAATGCTACGCCTTGAGTGGCTTAGTGCATTCAGGGAATGAGGAAATTAACAGCAGCAATCAGACAAAGCTTGATTATCTATGATGTGAGAAGAAAACCTAATTTAAGGCAGGCAATGAACAAGAGCTGGAGATCAGTTAAAGTGTCAACAAGCACAGCACCAGTACTGACAGGAAAAGTTATTCTTTCCCAGTGTCCACAAAAGAAACCTGCTTCCTGAAGGAGCAATGGATCACCAATACAGACGCACCCACTTCAACTGCACAACCCAAAGAAGGCATCTGGGATGAACAGCAGTAGAATAAATAGTGTTAAAGCAAATTAAAAGCTATGAAAAGACAGGAAACCTAACTCAAACCTTTTTAAGACAAGATGCACGTAACAGCATCATACAAAATAAAATTAATTTTAGATCAGTTAGTTTTTGGTAGATGAATGTATTTGCTTTAGCACAGAAGTACTGACATGACAAGAAGGAGCAGCCACAGAATATAATTTAACATGAGCAGCTCGCTGACTTTTCATGAAACGGTTTCAGTAGAACATTCAGCAGTAAAACTGTTATGTCCCTCCTCTACCTCTACAGGCATTTGAAAATGTTCACATCTGTTTGACAAGATCTCTAATATTTTAGGCATATTCTAACCAGAAAGGCTAAGGCCCTCATCCTTCCTGGTGTGACAGAGGGGACACCTGTGCCATTACAGAGGAGGAAGCATGACCACTCCGTGCTGGTTAGATAACTGTATTGCTCACAGATATGTGTTGCTAGCTACTGTAGATTTGAGTTTAAGTTGCAATTTACGAAGCTGAAAATTTGTGAACTAGAAACCTCATGGGTTGAAGTGAAGAATGAGTGAAATCACATGTTAAGAGCAGTCTATACATAGGGGATTGTATGTTTATATTTTCCTAATAAGCTCATAAAATGAAGCTTATTTTACAGAATATGTTGTCTTGTAAATTTCAGAGATCCGAAAGGGACTGTTACTCAGATTCAGCCCACAACACAAGTAGAGGAAACTGAGTAGGCTTTAGGGCATCCAGTCTTTAAAAGGAGCAGCATATAATGAATCTGATAAAAGCCACTGGACAGCTGATGTTACATTTTGTGTCTGAGCAATGACTGCATTAAGATGATCCGCAATTTGAATTTATCCTTTGTCTCAGATACCATTTCCAATGCATCACCACAGGTGAAGCTGTAAATGAAGGAAGAAATGAAACACTGCCATGGAATCTTGCTGTCCTCCTCACTAACTAAAGAAGAGGTAATTAGAAAACAACAATAGTGATTCTCTTTAGTTTCAGGCAGTCATTAAATTAAGCCTTGCTGCTATTCGTTCTTTCTTAAATATTGAAAAGAACTCACACAACTGCCTTGAAATATCGTTAAACATTACTTTGATTTTACAACACTGTCTAGAAAGGCCTCCTTTCCTGAACAAGCATCATGACAGTAGTGAAGTAAAACTGGCAAAACATCTATTTTTCTAACAAATGTTTTCCAGTGTTGAACTAGTAACTAGGACATGGATTTCGGTGAGGCCTTCAAGATCTGTATTTATTTAGTTAAAATGGAATAAGCTGTAGGTCAGAGTTCTTAATATCACACACTGAGATCAAGATGTTCATAAGCTTTCAGCAAAGTTCCATTTAATCTATTTTTTCCCCTCTTCTAAAGGCATTACTTTGTTTAAGGATATGCTTACAAGAATATGCCATAAGATTTCAGCAGTTATTTTGGGTATAACAAGTTACAGCTCAATGTCTACATGGCCAGAAACAAAGAGCTTTCAATGAACAGAATGATGGGAAGACTGCCCTATCCTCAACATGGAAATTACAGTGTGGATTTAGGGTTCCTTTGCCTAAGATGTTCCCTGAATAACTGATTTGAAGGTTGCAACATCTCAATTCGGTAACGTTAGAGAACGCTTTAGGTTTGATTTTCAATGTTACAGTATGTGCAATTAGGTCCCTTCAGTAAAACCAATCATATAAACACATAACATAGTACTTACCACTGAAAGCACAAAATTGAGAAGAGCTGTCCCACTATGGAAAAGGATCGTCACCAATGTTGTAACTGTAGTGAACAAGAGGCTCACATTCCGACTCATCACTATCCAGAGAGACTCCAGGATCTAGAAAAAAAGCAAGGAGTGCAAAAATCAAGCATCAGACTGAATTAGTTAACATACAGAATTGCATTCAGAGTCATACAAAAAAAAAAAAAAAAAAAAAAGACATTTATATATTAAAATAAAAAAAAATAAAATAAAATAAAAATCAATCATCTTCCCTTACCCCTATATTGCAACAGGTAACATTTAACTGGCCAAAGACAAGACCCTAGGTAGATATTTACAAAGTTTTGGGGAATTCTTCTTCCAGCGCTCAAAATAATTTCATCATGTAAAACTGCATAAAATCTAGACTATGTGACATTGTTTACTGTGATCTGTGTCACCACCAATCGAAAGTAGATCCCATCTTGGGAGAGAAAACTCATCTTTTCAAAAGCAGAAATGCTAAAGCACGAAGAACATCACAAAGTAGAAATGAAGCTGAAGGCAGCTTCAAATAAAGTAATACAATTACTACTTTAATATATTTGTTCTAGATGTATGTAAATAAGTTGCATAATTTTCATAATGTCTGTAGACAACTATACAGGAGACGATTTTGCACAGGGATGCAATAATTAGTCAAGTTGTTATGTAAAACTAATCATTCAGTGCAGGACAACCTATTAATTCTTGTAGGGGCTTGGGAAACTGACTGCTTATTAATTACAGATACTACAGAGTCTTTTTGAGATATGCCTTTAAATAAAGGATATCCAGCATAGCCAAATTAATTTATGTCTGGATGCACATGCAACAAGCTAATTAAGGCAGTAACTTCAGGAAACAGATTATCTGGCTGGGAGGTTTTCTTTCAGGACAGTAAACTCCTCAGCATAGGCTATAGCTGTGTAACAGTTTCACTACAAATTTTAGGCTAAGGAGCTCAGAATCTGGAGTAAACAACTGCAATTAATTCAAATGCAGGTATCAGGTGGTTCAATCAATACTGAGAACGTTTCTTCTATAAGAACTTTCTTGTTATGTAGAGTCATTCATCAGAGCTGCTGAGCTAAGTTACCACTAGCACATACTTTGAAATATGCACAAATAGTGCCTCTCAGTGATCTTCAGTTTGACCTATGAAAGCAAGGGCATGTTTTGAGACTGTATTCATCTGTAGAGTAAGTTCCCCCTAACATAAATTCACAATTACTTATTTCAAAATGTCTCATGAGAAAACAGACACTGCAGACACTAGTCATTGCTGAATATGTTATCAAAAAGCACTCAAAAAATCAACTAACAGTAAAAAAGCAAAACACAAGCCCTTACACTTCTGATTTCACAGTGATGTTTGATTCCTAAACTTCTCTTACAAAAATGAATACATGGGACTGGAATCATTATGAAGAACAGATGGTATTAGCTATATGCTTATGTAATTACTAGAAGAAAATCTGAGGGACAGAAAACAACGTTACAATATAAGAAAACATTACAATACAAAATTGAGCATCTGAAATTGGATATCAGTCCAACTCGATTTGGAATATACATTTATCAGTCACTGCTAAAGGAACAGACAGAAAAGCCTAACTGAGCTAAAGCTTTTTGTATATGTTTTAATGGAAGGTCTTCTGTCTTCCTGTCTGAGAAATCTCTGAATGAAAAACTGCTGGTAGAATGATGAATACTCTTGTGAAAGAAGCAAGATCAATTTAAGGAGACATGAGCAATTTCTCATATAACACTGAGGGAGTTTTAAGTGATCATTCACAGATTTGGTCAGCAACAATTTGCTTTTTCAAGGTTTCAAATATTACAGAAATGGAGTAAAAGTTACAGATGGAAAAATAAGCAACTGAGAAAGGATTCTCATCTCAGGATACAGTGTGAGGTCAAAAATTTGAGGCAGATGAGAGAACTTACTCTCCCCTAAACTGAGAATAGGACAGAACAAATCCACCCTGGAAATACATCACTGGAAGAACAGTTTAGTACTCTACTGCTTCTACTTAATACTGAAAAAATTCAATGAGGAAACACATCAGGAAACACCCTTGTAAAAACCAAAGCTATTAAGAAAGGAAAATGATGATTTGGAAAAGCTTACCTTTATATTAAATTTTAAGGCAATTTAATGTTTATATGGCAAATTGCTTCAAAATGGTAAGATCTACCTACATCAAACTAAAGCTACTAGAGGTACTACAACAAACAGCACATTTTGAGGGAAGTACAGAAGTCTTCTGTGCTTTTACCTGATAATCACAGTTCAACTCCTGAATCAGTGCATACTGTTACGGACAAAATGAGTGCCACTAATTCCCCTGCACAGGTATACCAGTGATGTAACTATATGCTTTCAACTCTAATATTCAAGTTTCGTCCACTATGGGAAGTCAAACTTTTTAATTTTATTTTATTTTTTAAGTTTTACACCTAGCAGATACTCCTCTTTTTCAAGAAGAAGAACACTTCCTATTATTTCCATAAATGGGAAAGAGCTTATCTGCTTATAATTGCAAGATGACATGGTCTAACAGCTGTGTTTTAAAAGAACATACAGTGATCAGTACTATTCTGAAATATTTCAGAAAGTCATGGGACTAGCGAGAGTTATTCTACGGCAAGCTCTAGCCACAGTCTATGCATAGGTACGCATTACATGCGAGCAGTATAAACTTATTCTTTTTAGAAGTGAAGGAAGTCTCCCTATAGCTGCATATTCTTTACAGTTACCACTTTCAATAGTCTGTGTTTAAAAACAACGTTGAAGCAGTTTCAGGAAATTTACATCTTGCTGTATGCTTAAGAATTACAGGTTAACACTGATTTTAAGTGTTCAAAAGCAGAAACATCCTATAGTTTCAATTATAGCCAAGACACTTAAAAACCCCTCCAGCCTGTAAAGCATAACCAAAACCTAAAGGAAACAAAGAACCTTACTAAACAACAATATCCACAAAAGTGCAAGAAAAAAATCCAAAGAAAAATAACAAACAGCAAAACAAAAATAACCTGCCTAAACTATTCTCCAAAAAAAAAAAAAAAAAACCCACATCGTTTAAAATATTGATCCTTTCCAGTTCAATATGCTGTTGTATAAACTCATTGCTCCTTTTCTAAGCATCAAGAGAAAGACTGTCACTCTCTCACAAAACACAAATCTGGGAAGCAGTAAGCTTCTGTTGTATCTAAGGATAAGTGAAAACCCTGCCATCAAATACCAGACTTAAGTTAGAACTATGATTATTTTTATCATCACCAAGACTTAATGGTCTGGACAAATACACATCAGATCTTTATTGATTTTCATTTGAAACAGTGGGATTAATATTTATGCAGTGGATTTTTTATAAGCTAGCCAGTAAGGAAAATGCTACCCAATAAGGAGTGAAATCAGGATTTAGCATTATACACTAGTGCTGACTGGTTTACAATCTGTCATGACAAATCTATGCGTATGGAGAAAAATGACAGGAGCCTCCCCAGAGATGATTAGTAATGAGTTCATGGACATAAACAGCAAAGCAAGCCAACTGCTGGCATTTTTCCTTTATTTCTAAAACCAAACTTCAAGATAATGTAAAGCATACTAGATTGAGAAAAAATTTTAATATTGACCTACCTCAAACTTAAATATTTATTCTCTTTTCACTATTTCTCCATTATTTTAGCCTACTTAGACTACTGATGCACACACACTATGGCTTCTAAGCACAACGAAGCAATGAGGTAAAGGAAATGGCTAGCACCTGTTGTGTAGTTCTTTTTCACTTACTCTTTCTTACCTAAAGGCAACACTGATTTTAAATGATGATTTGCTACACATTTTTGTAACGTTGCTTCAGGTACGTACAGCCAACTTTGAGAAAGAATTCAGCACATTTTCTGTATTAGCTGAAAAGGTTTCATTACTGTAAAAAGTTCCTCTCAACTTCTGGACTCACTTCTTATTTTTTAAATGATAGAAACTGTAACCATTTAAACAGGAGTTGAAGGAAAACAAGGCACACACACCCATCGCTCAAGACCAACAACTGGCTCAAGGCAAATAATAGCTTAAACTGCATCCACAAAAGATTCAAGTTAGGTATAATTAATTAACATTCTTTCAAAATGGATAAATATTAATCTTTAGATATTTCTCAATTACGAGAAATATAACAATAGTTCAGGTCAAAGATGAACTGTGCCAGGGAATGACAGCATGTTACACGCTTCAGATCCAACATCGTTTGTTAGACAAATGTAGTTGCTTCCCTTCTTTTCACTTTCCATGTTTCTTCTCTTCATAAGGTGAAAAGGTCCAGTGCATTAATCCAGGGACTCATGCAGTGTAAAATATTAATTTCATTCCCCACAGAACTTTCATAAAAGAGAAATAAAGTTGCTAGCAACCAAACGAATAATAATTTCAGGAAAAAAAGACTGTACAACACTTGCATTTACATATGTATTTTACGTATTTGTGTATGCGTGTCACAAACTTATTGGTCAATATATTTAATTCATAATCCAGATAGATTACGTATTTAAAACAAATTTAAACATCACCAAATTTACACTTGGCATACATTTCACATAAAAATAACACTGAAGCAAACTAATACTTGGCACACAACAAATTCCTAGAACAGACAGATGAAGTAAGAACAATTCCAAACAAACGATCTCTAAGAAACAGAAAAGTAAACCACAGAATATGAAGAATTTAAACCAACTTGCAGGTGACACAGGTAATACTACAACAATCTCAACAAGGAATAAGTTTGAAGCTCATATCACAAAATCACAGAACCACAGAATCATAGGAGTTAATGATCTCCAAAGATCCCTTCCAAGCCCAACCCTTCTGATAAAAGCAAGCTCCCTACAGTAGGTTGAACAGGAAAATGTCTGGGAAGGTCTTGAATAACTCTAGAGAAGGAGATATCAGTGAAGACACTGAAATCAGGAGCTTTTCATCACAATTAATTCTTCTTTGCAGTATGAATACTTCCAAAAGAAGACAAAAATTACTGCAAAGGCACTTATAAACTCTACCAGAGTTTCCATGTACCTGCATGCCATATCCTTAGCAAGAGGAGTAGGAATTAAAACAAGACCAATTTGGTAAAAAGGGCAAACAATACCTACCGAAAGAAATGTTTCAATGTTATCATGAACAAATGAGGCAACATCTTGCCAGTCCAGAATATCTCCAAGCCAGCTGTTCTGACGGTTTATGTGCCATTTGTGTCCTTTGTGTCTTCCAGAATGCGTTACATTCTTAAAGAGAGAGACAAAGATACAAAGGTACCATATATTTGAGTAATTAAGACAAACATGAAAAGCAGAAGACTAAGAATTTCTTATAACATGTCCTCTGTGTACCTAAACTGCTAGGTCTGCTCTAACTCTTAATCTTCAAAAATCACTGGAACCAAGGAAGTATTTTTCTGTACAACTGGAAAAATAAGAGCTGACAAAAAAACTATAGTTAATTATCTGATGTAATTACAGTTATATTGTACTAATGCATCTCACTTAAACATTAGTGTGACAGCTTGACAAAGACAGTGGTATCTATTTTGCTCCTTAGGAAAGCAGAGAACAAAGAAGTAACAATTTCAGTTACTGCACACATAATTTGCTGATGGCAACACATAACTTCTTCCATAATCCATAAAGAATAATAAAAGAAGACACAAGAAGAACTATTTTTCTCACATTGTGTCTTCCATTGAAAACATTCACTCATTCAAAAGCTACAAACTAAACCAGAAGTATGTAGGATTTCTTTTGACTACACAGCTTTGTAGCTGCAAAACAACAAAACAACAGGAACTGATCGTAACAGTTATAAATACAGCAGGTAGTTGCTCAGGTGGCTACATCCGAATTATGAAGTAGATTCTGAGCAACAGAACCAAACAAAGAACCTCACAACTGAACGGGCTAAAAGGAGAGGTTCTCCTTGAAGATGACACTTTAATTGCAGTTGCCATCATCTTCCAAGTGATTTCTTCTTCCATTATTATACAAAAGCTCAATAGCAATTAATCTTTTACAACATCTCCAGAACTTTTTAAAATATATACTATTTGCTATCTGCTGATCTTTTCTCAAAGTGGAAGTTAATGACTGAAACCACATTTTGTTGGCAATTCTTCCTCAACTCTACAGCTTTCATGTAAGAATATTACCTTACAGCCTAGAACAGGACTATGCAGACCTCAGAATAAAGCATAACTATGCTTGTACTAATGGAGAACTTGAAAGCTCCACTGAGATACCATTAGATTTGATACAGATGTCTTGCATGGAAATATCATATGGTTTACTAGTTTTCAGTTACTCTGAAAGGCTCCACGAGGTAACTGCAATACTACAGGAGGAAACAGCCAGGAAGTCACCCAAGTTTGACTTGTAAATGGACATGGAGCATGACAGAAGGAGCAAGATTACAAATCGAACTCTGGGACAGTTACCTGCAGCCCTCAGATGAGTGACAGCCCATCATGCCCTGGCTAACTTAAGGTCTCTAATGTGCAACTAGTAACTGGAGAAAAAAAAACCTAAGATCACAAGTAGCATCAATCTACTCCTGCAGATCTTTTTCATGTTTTGATTGCTAGGGAAGCCACTTGCCGCTGTGCTCTACTACAGCATTTACAAGATCAAAACCCCATAGTCTCCCCCCAAATAACAATCTGCAGAAAAGAAATAATATAATGTAACTCAGAGATTCAACATACTGACGCAACAATGTACTTCTGTGGCACATGCCCAATTGAACCATACAGAGCCGCTGCACATCTAGTTACAACACCAAAAGCATTAGCATTTGGCTAAATATACAACATCGACTCGTCCTACATTCTTTTCTTCCAGCAAAATCTCTTGTAAAATGGAACAGCTTAGGTAGGAAGAGATTTAAAGCCTTGGTTGCAATCCCACTGCCATCAGCAGGGCTGCCACCCACTAGATCAGGCTGCCCAGGACCCCATCCATCCTGGCCTCGAATGCCTCCTGGGGCATCCACAGCTTCTCTGGGAAACTGTGCCAGCGCCTCATCGCCCTCCAAGTAAAAAACTAACACCTAACATAAATATTACCTGTTTTAATTTAAAGCCATTCCCCCTTGTCCTATCACAGTTTGCCCACGTAAAAATCAGTCTTCCTCCTGTTTATACGCTCCCTTCAAGGACTGCAATATCGCAACAAGGTCTCCCTGGAGCCTTCTCTTCTCCAAGCTAAACAAGCCCAACTCCATCAATCATTTTTCACAGAAGAGATACTCCAGCCCTCCAGTCATCCTGAGGACCCACTCCAATAGCTCTACATGCTTCCTGTACTGGGGGCCCCAGGCCTAGACACTGTATTCCAGGTAAGATGTCATGAGGGCAGAGCAGAAGGGGACAGTCACAGCCTTTGCCCTGCAGGCCACCTGTCTTCTGATGCAGCCCAAGACACAGTCGGCCTTCCAGACTGTGAGCACACTCTACCAGCTCGTGTCCTTTCACACCAGCCATCTCTTTGCTGCATGACTTTGCTTTTTATTCTGCCAGCATCTGTCCATTCTTCCCCACAGCAGGCAGAGAAGAGAGTGGGAATGAAAGAACAGCTTTCTACTTTCAGTTCTTCCATAGATACAGTTTTCTCTCTTTTATATTTTGCTATTTCAAATGCATCACAGCTAATGAATTGCTTTCTTCTTCCTTTACTGGCAAGAAGCATCGACATCACAAAAATTTAATTTTTATTAACTTTTCAAGATTCAGTGTGCAGAATCAGAATTCAGAGAACCCACTACTGGAATTCACAAAAAATGCATTTAAAGAACAACTTTTTCATTTAAAATTCAAATCAATGAAAGATACACAAATCACACAGAATACCAGCTTTTTCCCAACCCCTTAGTATAACAAAAATTCAAAAGAAAGCTCTGAACTAGGAGTGACTAAATATGAATAATGAACAAAGAACATATTAAATTGCAGACATAAAAACACATTGAAGGGCATAATTCTGGATATACTCAAACTTATGCACTTGGGATTTTGCTTTGTTTCTTTGTAAAATCAATTTTGTATCATTATGATATTTATTCAGCAGTTCAAGCTTCTTGCTAATCTTATATGCTTAGCATAATTGTCTCAAGACAGTAAGTGATAGTTTATATAAATATAATTTAAACAAGCTACCCACCTTCACAAACCAAGAATGATAAAGCCTGTCCCAAAGCTCCAGCACTTGTTTTTCAATCACAGCGGTGTTGTTCACTTTTTCCCCTAAAATTTTATGAAGCTGAAACATATATAACTCTTATTACACAGGACAGAAGGTAGCTGGCATCTACTGACAAACTCAAAGGTAGACAAATCACACAGAATTATCAGAATAAAGGTATAATCCAATCCCAAATAATTAGAAGACCTGAGTTTCAGTATGGAATATACTCTTGAAATCAATATGATTCAAAACAAAGATTTTTTTGATAAAACATTCTGCTACACTAAGCTGAAGGCTTCTTTCTGCACTGAAAAACTAATGCTGCCTCTAAAATGCTTAATCCAATTTATACCTGATCTTATTCACAGTAAACATTTCAAACTATGTGAGATACATGCGATCTTGGCAAATTCTCCTGAAGAATGTTAATTTAAAAGTAAACAAGTGAAATATAAATTTACCACGTGCAGTCCATGCAGAAATTAGAATACACGTGGTTAAAAAAAAGCACATTTTCTAAAATTGGACAGTTAAAAGTCGAATGAAAAATTAGTCATCTTTATTTGATATATTTTCACTGGCAATCTTAGTAAAATGAAGATAGATTTTTCAGCTCTTATAAACAGACATTTCTCTAATTAGAAAATCTATTGAAATCACTCCCACTGCCTTCCTTCACTCACAGACTAAAATCAGAAAGAACAGATCTGCTAACAAAACAGTTAATCACATGAAAAACAGGGTCACAGAGAAAAACGTTTTTATTTCATTTTTACTTATATGAAATACAGGAGTCCAGAACGTAATTTAAAAAAACAAAAAAAAAAAACAACAAGGGAACTGTTTCTCACCTTGTGTGTAATCCATTCTCTGCCATATTGGTACACATTATTTGCTGCTGAGTTGAGCGCCTTCTGGAAAACCTGGGCTTCTGGAAGCCAGCTGTTGTATTTCATTATTTTTTTTTTTTTTTTTAAGAAGAAAACAAAGTTATCTGCTACTTATTTTACCCATTTCATTACACCTGAAACATATTACCAATTAACATACAGAAACAACAAAAAATAGCTAAGAACAAATGAATGTATTACAGCTAGAGTACTTTGTTCTTATGTGCCAAAGAGACAATTTTTTGTTAAGCGGAGCACAATTCAACATATCATATGCCATTACATTTGTAATTCACTACGGTACCCACAACCTTAGTTCAATTGCTACCTCAACGTTTTCAAGTGAGCCTTATTCATATTTCACCCTTATAATTTTTTCTAGTGTTCTAGTTTTCTGAAAATATTACATGAAGCAGTCTTTTCGAGTTACAAAGACATCCTTCTCAATTATGAGCTGAATGCAAATTGTCAGTTAATGTGACTTCTCTGCATAAGCAAGATGAATTAACAGGTTACAATACCACTTATTTCTAAGACTCTAGCAAGTTATCTGCTTACAAGAATCTTCATGTCACTTCCATGTCATGTCACAAATCACAACGTGACTCATGTCACTTTCAAATAACAGACTTATTGAGCTGCCAACATTTCAACAATTCTGAATACAGGGAGTGCATTCCCCAACTTTTTTTCGACATTGTCATTCAATTAGTGATGTTAAAGCCCTTCAAATAAAAAAAACAAAAGGAAAAAAAAAAACGTTTGGGAATCGAAACTGCTGCATTTCTTGAGTTAACTCAATATGGAATCCTTCCTGTGCATATAACTCTTCAGAAATGTCGTCAAATTCCAGTGCAGAACATTTCAGTAACTCATTTCTAAACATAATCTACATATTAAGTATCAAGCTCTGAAATCTAAGCTTGTTAGATTTGACAGAAGGTGTATTTACTCCTAATGAATTAATATATGGTGTTTTGAATGCTTCTAATTTGGAGGCAGAAACTGCAAGTAAACATCCTAAATAAAATTCTGCTAATTACTCAGCTAATACTCCAGAATCCTCAGCATGTGAGTAAGCTTTGGACTTTCAAACTTCCATTTTCATTACTCCTACTTATTTTCATCCTGTGGCAAAATGGGAAGGCTAAATGATACAGCAGATGTCACAAAGGAATAAACAAATGCATTTAAGTGGTCTCTTTTGACTGAGATTACTTCAGTTTTGCTCAAACATGTTATCACAGCATTTCTCAACAACACCATTTTAGTTATATTTTTGAGAATTCCCCTTGCTCTTACAATACAGTTTCTTTCAATCTTATTAAACCATTGTCACTTCTGTGAGAAGGTTCCCTTGACAATGTCAACAATTCTCATCTAGATGATTTTTTCCCCATGAAGTGCCCTGGCTTACTTTCACTCAAGGTCTGTTTAGCCAAAGCAGAACAAAAGCAAATCTGAATAATCTCCCTTTATTACCTATTCCCTCTCCACTGTTAACACAATCAGTTTGCTCACCACTGCACTCTTATTATTCATCTATGTTCATTTACTTCATAATATTCTCCCTTCCTTAATATTTATCTTGTTTTAGCTGTAATCGTTACGTATATTGCATCTAGAGTCTTTCCAGTGTACATAATATCTGCTCTAAATAGGAATATCCTCTCCTAAATGATTCACAGCAAACTTTCACTATCCACCACTCTTTCTATCCCCTGAACTCTTTTTTGGTTTGATCCAGAAACATTTCTTTCAAATTCAACTCTGTCAAAGGCAAATTCAACTCTGTTCTGCAGTCAGCTCCCTACATGGAAAATATAATTCAGCTTTCAGCTCAGTCTTTTAGAGCATTCTTCACCATTACTTTTCTTTTCTGGGCAAAAGTGGAAGAAATTTTGACCACTATTCTCTGTATTCTCTTGTATATGCAAGTTTTTTTCCTCCAAAATTTTAACTACAGAGGTTTATTCAGCAGTTCTTCTCCACCAAAGCTGAAACAGTTCTCAGATGAGATACCACATGCCTCTCCTGCAGAATAATGGATATACATTACTACTTCCTGACACTTCAGCTTTTACATCTGCCTGCAACAGTCACTCCCATTTCTGTTCACCTACAGAATTAAGCTAAAAACAAAAAAACAACAAAAAAAGGAAAAAGGAAAAAGGAAAAAGGAAAAAGGAAAAAGGAAAAAGGAAAAAGGAAAAAGGAAAAAGGAAAAAGGAAAAAGGAAAAAGGAAAAAGGAAAAAGGAAAAAGGAAAAAGGAAAAAGGAAAAAGGAAAAAGGAAAAAGGAAAAAGGAAAAAGGAAAAAGGAAAAAGGAAAAAGGAAAAAACCCTCCCCCCAAAAAAGAAACAAACAACAGAACAACCAAACTATCTGTAAGAGCACCTGGAAGCTTGTTCATCCACCCTATACTATTCGCTTAACTTCAGCATTCTTACTTTGCCCATTCTGGGTGACTGGCTACTGTCTCATTGATCAAGCTGCTCGTGACTTGAATCATGTGAACACTCTCTTGATGTACCTAAATTAAACACAGAGAGAAGAAATGTCATGTAATGCAAACTCGAACTCTACCTACTTTGAGAGTCTTTTTATTTTTTTTGGACTGGGTGGGGATGGGCTAGTAGCCCGTTTTTGACAGATTGAAAGAGTAATTCCTAAAACTCAGAAGACCCACTGTGAGCCATGAAGTAGCATTAACTCAGAAAAGAAATCAATGTAATAAATGACAGTCTGTTCTGACAGTTTTGGTCACGCACTGTTTAATTAACAATGGCAAATGGAAATTTAAATCTCATCTCATCAACTAGAAAAATAATACCTGGGGATATTATAGCAAAATAATATCTAACTACAGCTGTGCTGTCAGAGAAGTACTAAAATACGAAACATTTAAGTTTCAGATAGGACTTTCCAAGGTATGGATCAAAGAACCATAAAAATTAATGAATGCTCAGTTCTAATATGATTAACCACACTAAGTGCCTCACCAAATTAATTCTTCAATAACAAAATAAAAGACATCATATATAAATATCTTAATGTTTCTTTTCTGACTGTGAAAAAGCTTTAGGCTGGAATATTTGCACAGCTTTTAAAGCCTTCAATTTTAAGCACTCAATATTATGCAAGTTTACATTTTGGAGAAATGAGACTGACATCAGAATCAATCTGATATTTGTTTCACAGCTCTATTCAGGCAAACCATCCAGCCTCCACTGATTGCGCCAAGTAAGAATACAGCTCCATAAAAAAAAAAGGGGAGGAAAATAAAAGGAAAAAGCAAAACAGAACAAAACAGAAAATATGGGTGACCTCTTCTGGTGAAAAAAAAGAAAATCAACCACAATTCAAAAATGAATTGCAATGAGCATCTGAATCTCAGCACATTTTAACTTCGAATGGGATACTATGGGGTTATTACAGACAATCACACAAACAAACACACCTTAAGCATTTTACAAATACGGTTTTGATGCAAAGTAAATTAAAAAAAAAAAAACAACAAAATAAAATTCTAAGCAACTCTACGACTGCCATGAAAGCTGTAACCAGATGCAAAACAAAACTGTTACTTTAATACATAAGCTAACAACTGCACTTCTAGAATGAATTTCAAATCTCCAAATGTCTACAGATTGGTTTTGTTACATATAAATATATAAATAAATACATGTGCATATCTCCTCAGAAATCTTGGAATGGTAATAAATTTGACTACAGAACATTTCGTTCCTCAATACTTCAAAAGGTTCTTTAAGCTACACAATTTTGCATAAACATCAGTAACTTTCATTCAGCTTTTAAACATGAGCTCTGTGACAGTGTTCTTCAGCGCACCGTACCTTTGCAGTAAGGAGCAGGGCTAGGAGAAGGGTTCCTATCACTAGCAAAAATATTATGAAAATGCTGATTATTTTATCTAGCATTTTCTCCAACCACACGATCATCTGTGCAGAAAAAAAAAAAAGAAAAAAATCATGGCATATAAACTAATCTCCAATGAAAGCAACGTTAGATGCTATCTGGCAGCACTGTTATCTTTACTTATAACTGGAATGCAAAATTAGGCTCTAATCAAACAGCATTAATGCTCAAGCTCTGAGATGGACAATTAACAAGCAATGTTAGGATGATTAAGGCCATGGTATGACATGTGGTTTTGCAAACGACATTTACACATTACCACAAGACACAGCAAGCTCTCTGCAATGCAAATAATAATTCAACATATACTTAGCCAACCTAAAGAGGCTGCATTCACTTCAACTACCAACGTAGAAACTGACTTTGTTTCCTGTCCTTCACCAACTTGGAAACTTACGGGTACTATTTGCACAGAAGTTAACAAGGCATGCTGTTAAGTATGACCATGACTTTGGAACCTGAATAGCTAGTAGCTATCCAAATGACTACTGAGATATTTCTGCAAATAACCAAACATTTAAAGCTGCTTATCACCTTCTGAACTTAAGCTGAAGGCTTTATAAATCACTAAATTTCTAGTCAATTATTCTGTGCTGAATATTTTCATCAAATTTCAAACTGGAAAGATTCTCAGTATTATATATGAATCAGATAAAACTACTTATATATGGAACAAGCATGTTTGTTATTCTGTTGGTTTATGGAAAGGCACATTCTGTACATGTCTACGGGTAACAATGATACCACTTCAGATTAGAAAAAATTTGCTGATGTCATTCAAAACATGAGAACTGCCGAACTACATGACTATTCACAGTGCAAGCTAAGCTTTCTCATACATCAATTGACTATCCACACAAAAAGTTGAGAAAGCTCATGCAAGTGTGACCAAGCACATTTTTCTAGCTTTTATATATAGTTCAAGTACCAAATTTTATTTTTATTCCATCTGGCATAAAAAAATACAATTGTAAAATCTGAGCTTTAAGAGAACCAAAGTTAATGACAATATGCAGGAGAAGAAAGTATTTCCAAGTGAGTATAAGTTACGTATCCAGAGATTAGGATGATAACTCTTTGCATAGAGTTCTTCCCAAACTACTGAGCTTACCAATGGTTTACATTTGTAAACCACTTCTTCCCTCACTATTTACCCCACTCCTACATAGGAAATCAACAACCAGTAACTACTATGGACTGCTGTATGTCTGAATTTCTTAACACAGAAGCTATATCTCCTGCTTGAAAAGGAACAGAAGCTCATCCTGTAACATTTAAGCAGTTAATACACATAAAGCTTTGAGAGGAAAAATAAAAAAGCTTAAAGTTTTTACAACCAATTCCTTGTTTGATCTGAATCACGATAAGGATTACATTCAGCATTTTAGAACTGCTGTTAAAAATACTGAAAAAAAGCTGGAAGAAAGCAAACAGGAACTAATGCTGAGCCAGCAAGTTTCTACGGCAAGATCTACATGACCTGCAGAAAGGAATTCTGTAGAACTGGAAGGAATCTGCAAAACCTTACGCCTTGGATATTTTTAACATTTTCCCCCCTTTGCTGAAATATCTCTGCCATCAGAAATACCATATGCTGGGGGGAGAGGTTACGTGCCTGTAGCAATAGCGCAACTTTCAAAAAAATTCTGACTAATTTCTACTTGGGGCTGTTAACTCTTTGGAAACAAGACAGAAAACAGGATTTGCTGTGCCCTTCCACATTTCACATGAATCAAGCAAGAGAAGCAAAAATGAAAGCCCCTGTTTCGAAGGTGAGAATCAAAAACTATCCCTGAAAACAATCAGTGGCCAGGAAGGGAAAATTTATGGCATGCGTTTTAAACTGAAGTTATAGAAAAAGACAATAAAGCTTCCCTTGCTATTCCTTAGTCAAAGTAAAAAATAATTCTTATTTACTTTCTAAGTTAGAGACAAAATCAACTCATTACTTAGTCTCATCTAGAACTCGAACCTGTCTCACTGCTAACATCTCTAGCTGTGTGAGAATACCCAACAGGAAGAATCTCATCCAGCAGCATAGGCTGGACTTTCTACGTGTTTTACCACCATAGCGACTACTGGAAGAAGAAAAAGCTCTAAAAAAATCAGGATGAGGACCCTCTGAACATCACCAGCAAGGATCTTTACTTGATGCTTCTCGCTGCAGGTTGGAATTATAATGCCTTTGAAGTGCAGCTGCAACATGCGTGAAGCCTCAATTACTTTTAATCTAGTTAGCAAAGTAATGGCCATGCTGATGCTGCACTAGCATAGACAGCAACCTCAGGCATGCAAGCCCACTTTGTGTTTATTTCTTGGGCAGGTAGCCTATGCAATCTACACGGAAGCCAAGTGCAGCATGCCTACGGGTACCTCAATCACATCTCTCACAGCCTTAAGAAGATCAACATTACACAACTGTTACAAACAAATCAGAGTAGAGATCCAAATTGGATTCAGTATACTCATAATAAAAGCAGATGCACAACATTATCTTAAGGTTATATTTATTCTGCCTCCTTTAATTTGCTTGCTATTAAGCTTCCCTCCCTTCCTCTACATTTACCTGCAACACTTCAGTAGGAAGCGCTCACCCTGGCACACTCACGTTAAATAATTCATTGGTACTAGCTTAGTACTGCATGTAAGTTAGAATGCTAAATTCCTGCGTGCTTGTACTTACCACTGAATCAGGCCATCCCTTTACATCTCTTCTGTAAATCACAGACACACACACAAATACAAACATACTGACTAAACACTAGTCATCAGCCAGAGATCATGAAGTTCTAAATTCAGTTCTGAGCTTCTTCATCTAAAAATCAGTTAACAACAAGAAGCTGATGCTGCCACAACATCCAAAATTATGCAACGGTAAGCAAAGCCAGGCTCCTAAGCTACAGAAGGTCACACTTTTAAAACCAAACTGAGAGGTTAAAAAGTTGTGATAGACTGACTGCAAAAAGCTATCTTAAATTTTCAAGGTTTTAAAAGAAAAGGCATCAACTTTAAAAAGATTTTTTTTAGAATATATCTCAAGGTAGAAGTAAGTTTCTAAGCCAAGTTGTACTCTTTTAAAATGCCTCTCAAATATCTTCAAGTATGCCCTGCTTACAATTTTCATATCATGATACAAACCCCATTACAGTGAGCGCAAGAAGACTTCTGATCACATTTACCAATCAGGAATCACACTATCTAGACAAGTTACGCAGTAAGATCCATAATTTATGAATTCATATTTTAGTGTCCTCAAACTGCACAGCCATCAGAACATTTTTTTAAACCATTTTATGAACTGCACTTCACACACAGTGACGCATACCTGGACATCCGTTCCACTTTCATTAACTTACATGAAATTACCAACAAGGGTGATTTCTTTCTAAACACTATTTCACCACCTATCAGGATTCTTTTTTTCCCCAAACCTTTTCAGACAGCAGACTTGATAACATTTTCCTTTAGTTCAATTAATATTCGATATCATCTTATTAATATCATCCGGTGAGAATAAGGGAAGATTATAACTGTAACACAACTCACACTATGCGGAAATGAATCATATGAATAGCTAAGTTAACACTGGAGAACAATCTAGATGAGCCCATTCATAGTTATGTCCCTCCAACAACTACAGTATTTAGTAATCCTAAAGATTCCTGCCATGTACAATGTCACAGAACCAATCATGCTAACCCTACCTATTCTCCACTTTGGGTGGTATCTGCACATTAAACACAATTATACATCATTCTTGTCTGCTAAAGAAAAATTCAAGCAGCTCTTCGACAGCTCTTGGAACAGGAAGAAAAAAAGCTAAGGTTTATCACCAGCAGCCCCAGACAGTCATCACTTCAGACTCTGTCATTTGTGCGACTGTCAGTGGATGATCGGTAACTTATGTTAGCATTCCCAAACATAATTCCCTGCAGAGTAGCAAAAAAGAGAAAGGCCCAGAGGAAGTAACTTTTCAAGTGACTGCAGCTGTTCTATGTCGTAAGTCTCCTCCATTCTTTGCCCTCTGGTAGAGCATTTTTTTTTAAATTAAGAGGAAAAAAAACAAAACAACCCTCAAGAACCTGATATATTTCTTGTATCTTCTTGTTTTGCTTTTTTCTTTACCTTGACTATAATGCTATCATTACTTGCTCATCATGCACAGAAGTCAACATTATATGCAACACTACAAGACTACAAAGATCTCATCCTATAAAAATATGAAGTCAAACATTAGTTTCAAAATCATCTCCTGAGAACTACATAATCCTCTTCTAAGAAGCTGTATCTGTAGGTTTTTGACCAATAATTCACTTTTCTAATATAAAAAACACCAAAAACTCAGAGTTCAAAGTAATAGCAAGTAAATTATTCTTACAGCATATCAATATTTAAAAAATAAAAATAAAAATCCATATGACTGAGTTTTCAAAAAAAGCAAGTAAAATTCAGAGACACGAGTAGTGAAAACTGAGCTTTTACTGGTGATTCACTGAACTTAGCAGCTCACCTCAAGCATGCAAACAAACCAATCACTTATCCAAATTTTTATGAAGGGTTACGGTACAATGTGTTTATTGATCACAAACCACCTAGAGCGAAGAAACACTGCAAAAACAGGAAGTAAAAGTACAGCTTGAAAACAGCCAAATTATATTAAAAGGCAAAAGAAAATTTGAAATTTGCCCTTTTAGTGGGCAGTTATAACTGAAGCATAAAACAAGCAACTCTACCCTCTTGTTTACAACCACAGAAACCCTCCTAGCTCAGTCCTAGCTCAATGATTAAATACTTGTGATTAAACATACTGAATTCATTGTAACTGCTCAACCTACACACTACTTGCAGCATCACTCCTCATTTGTCATCCAGAAGATGTCAGCTATCTAACTACCTTCAATGGTTTAAAAGAACCTTGTGGAGGGTTGTCTAAGTGCCCTTCATGGCCTACATGATCTACTATTCTGCTCTATTTGTTTTCATTATCACTTTCAACAAAGGTATTTCAGGTTCTACGGTTTCTTCTTCAGTTGTTACTAAATAGAATTGGTAAGTGGTTGATCAAAAATTAAAAGCGTTTATAAACCTAGAAAGCGCTCTGATTAGCCCAGTAGTACTCAAGTGATAAGTAAGGACAGAAGTTACTGCTGAGAGCGTAACTCATTTCCACACACAGTACTTAATCTTTTTCCTCTCTCTCAGTTACCTAGTTTTCATGTTTTATCACATTCTAAATTTTCCTTGCCATAACTCTAGAGTTCTTCACGTACACATCCGACAATGACACTGCCCAGGTCTCAGACATATCACCACACTGAGTTTCCCAGATTTCAGTCACACCTGAGGCCAAACACAGACTGATTCAGTTTCAATTTTTCTTGGGTTGATGGTTCCCCAAAGAGCAATAGTCCACTGGGACTGATCAAGAGGAACCACATCTACCGAGGAGTAAATTTTATATATAACACATGACATACTTTTATAAGCCAAACACACACTAATATTTTAACTATACCAACATTTTTGTTGTTTTTGTGTGTTGGTTTTTTTTCCCTCTAACTAGCAATCAGTTTTCTTCAGAGTGTCACTGGATTCAGCAGGTACTCTCATTTCACTTGTGCTACACTATCACTGAATATACAGGCCAGTTTGGCACTTCAAAGGGAAACATTAATAGCACAGACCAAAACCAGGCAATGCATTGTGTGCAAGCATCTATTTTCCTAGCTTCAAGACTGCACTTCAAGCCCTAACCCTCACCACTCCCACATTAATTCATGTAACTAATGCTTTCCCTGAGCAGAGAACAGATGTCTAGTCAGGGAATTAACTCATTTTGTCAAGCATACAAGTCAGGAGTAGGAGTAGATCAACCATTTTGAAATACAAGTGCTACTAAATCAAACTACCAGTTGAAAAGCTAACGCAATATTCTGTTGTACAAAATGTGTAACTATATGCGTTTACTTTAGTAGAAGACAAGAGATCAGGTATAATTATATGACCTTCCGTAGCTTATGTCAAAAGCTGGAAAATTAACACTTGGGAGAGAAACTAAGAAGCAAAGCATGTTAAGGAGTGTTCATGCTGCAAAAAACCTCCCCAAAACCGCAGAACTGATTAGTTGGAATCACAATTTTGCTGTTTATTTACCTTCTTATTAAGCCAGTGCCACAGCTTGTCAGTGGCAGAGGGAGATGGAAGAAAAGGGAAAAAAAGACAAGAACACAGTGGAAAATTATTGAAAAATACAGTAATAGAGGGAGGGTAAAGCAATGAGAGGCAGGCAGTCACCCACAGAATGAGAATGAAATTGTTTCAGACACAAAATCAACTTGTAAAAGGAAGAAAAGAGCATAAGAACTTTAACAGTAAAACATATTCTTGCATTCAGCATGCATTTTTTTTTTTTTAAACAAAGGGAGATATAACAAGTAAAAACAAACAATGATATTAACAGAGCAATCAGCATAACCTGGTAATTATTCCGAGTGTTAATATTTCAGATTTCAGAATAGGATTTGCACTCCAAGAAGAACATGTTACTGAAACACCAAAATTTAACATGAGATACTTAATGATAACGTTTATATTCCCACCCAGGCAGTTTCATTTGTTATAACACCAGAAATAATAGCGATGTTTTGAAATATTTTTTTAGTTCCACATTTGTTTTATTACAACGTTCACATTCAATGTCTCAGTGGAAAGAAATCTGACATACACACAAAAACAAACTGTAGATGAAATCAACGTACGGCCTTCATTTAATTCCATCAGTTGCACAAAAGGCTCTTCATTTCTTAACAGACCATTTCCTCTCCTGTACAGCTGTGCTGTTTTAATTATTTTTTATCTTTTACTAATACTCTCACAAAGCACTCAAGTACACTCACTTAAGGTCTAGTTTCAATCGGACTATACTCTTAACTCTTGCTATTAGTAATCAGCAGCATAACAACAAAGTGAAAAGCTTTAAGGCTATTACTCATCTGTGTGAGAAGTTAAGATAAAATAAGTTAGGTTTGCTCCTCCTTGAACACAAGAAAGGTTATTAAACTATTAATTAATCCAGAGTGAGTTTTCAACAACTGCCTGAACTTGCATTAACTCCCAATGAAAACAAAACATTCCTAATTTAAAAAAAAAAAAAACAAACCAACAAACAACAGAAAACAACACTCAATGTTAACTAATTTTTTATCAGAAGCAAGATTTACAAGGAAATATGAACACCAGGAAATCTGAAAATAAAAGACATCACCAAGCACCCAGTTGTTTTCCTCTGTAGTTGTATGGCTTTAGTATGCTCAAAGAAAGCAGAACAGTAGTGGAAAAAGGGACAGCAAAGCTTCAAAAGCTTCATACTGATAATGTACAATTTCTTTCTATTTTCCTTCTTCACCTACAGCATAATTTATAGCAAAGGTTAGAGCTCCAGTCTCAGCCAGAGCTTTTAGCAGAATATTTTGTTTTGTTTACAATATGTATGCCTCCTGTAATTAGTTGATCAATACATTAACAAGGACATATTGCATGCTAAAAATAAATGTTAATTAATAAAACAATTCTTAAGAGAAAATCTGGGGGGCTCTACTTGCCTATTATCTTACCAATATCTATATTTCAGTAGTTCTATAAGTAGGATAAACATACATTTAAGAATAGGTTATTAAGCTTAAAATTAACATTCTGGTCATTCAAAACAAATCAGGCTACAGTAACTTTTCCAGTTAATTACTGGAAAACCATTTATACAATACCTTATATGTCTATGAAACTAATTTCTAGAATAACAAATGCACTGGTAGAGATTCTGTCTGGCTTCTTCTTGCTTTAACTGTATGCTACAGTTCGTACCTGGGGAAGCAAACCTCAACTTTATTCAAAGTCCAAACACCTTACTGTAGTCCTCCAGTTATAAAATTCTAGCATGCTCTATCTAGAAGCCCTGTGCAATAATCATGTGATTTGCTGGTCTATCAGAAAGGATGCATGCAACAGTATACCAAAAATAGAGAAGTGAGTGCAGATCCTCTGATTATGCTGCCTAACTACCCAGAGAATTCAATGAAGCAAAACTACAGTCACCGTGCTAAAAGACAAAGGTGTTTTTCTTTTTTCAATTTTATCAGACTGAAGCAAACTATTAGTTCTTGACTGTTAATGAGAACATGCACGATTCTACTGAGTTGCAAGGTGAATAAACAGATGACAACAGAAACTTTTTCTCCTCCTCCTTTCTCCAGCAAACCCCTACATTTGAATCACTGAGTTCATCAGCTCCAGGGGCCAAATCTATAACTAGAGACTAATGAATACAGTAATAATACTGTTTCTATAGTCCATATTTAAACCAGATCTGCATGTATGGGCACATCCTGACCTATTGTTTAGAATGAAAATAAAAAACAATGCCCAACTTATCTCTGATAAGATCTTCAATTCATATTTTGTCTGCGTTGCCAATAAGATAACCAGGAGCTGATGAGCAATGAACAAGAACAGGCTGTCTTTTTAAAACAAACAAACAAACAACTTTATTTTAGTTAAGAAATAGATCTAACTCTACTGGCATTGCTGCCCAAATTCTTGGAGACAGGATGCATTCTTGATCCCATGTGGCACAGAACAAGCATATCCAGCAGAACTTAAAGATTACGAAAGCATTAGTGTGACAAATACTGGAAGCCCACACATAACTCCAGTCACTCCTGAGACAAGTGAATCACAATAGGCACAAACAAGGACAATACAATCATGCAGAATATCAAATGCATTTCTTTTAATGGCTAAAAGAGCTTGGATTGTTTTAACGTACAGCACAGACACAAAAGTATGACCGTTAGCTAAAAAACAAGGGAGGGAAGATGAAGTAGTGTATTTTGTCCAAACTGTTCATTTGCTTAGACAAGAACAATATGAGTATAAACTGACCTTCAGACATTTAAGCTGAAGAGTGGGAAGTTCTGGTGCACATTAGGACAAAAACCCTACCTTTTTCAAGGAAAAAAAGGCTTAACAGAATTAGGAAACATCCTTTATCATGTAGATCTGTGATATGAAAACACTAAACTCAACAACACAGGAAAGACAATACATTACTATTCTGACAATACAGTACTATTCTGTCTAGACAGCCTTCTTACTTTCAAAGTAAAGGCTTTTAGTAAAAATCTTCGTACACTGTAAACTTTTTTCCTCTTTAACATGTTACATTTTCCCACTGTCTTCTGAAAACCCCTTCAACTTGTTCATAGCTGCATTCTGAAAAGGCTTTCCTTTTTCTATTTATTCCTCAACTCCATGGAACTACTATTTATTTCCTACACCCATTAACTCTTTCGTTGACCTACTGGCATCCATTTATCCATTAGATCTGGGCTCAAATGTCTCCTTTTCTTGTAGGAATTCAGAGGTATTATCTGCAGATATCGGTCCAGATGTAAATGCTTTGACAAATTTACTTACAGGGTGCAGACCTTATGTTACTGAAATTCTGACCTAACAGCTTTTTCTAAAGCAAGAATAATTCAACACAACTGTCACAGAAAGTACTTAAAATTCTTAAAAACTAGCAAAACTTGCAAACAAAATAATTCATCAGGTTAAGTGAAAACTTGTAATTCTGAAAGGAGGAGTCTTCATAAGTTTTTTGAGCTTTTTGACTTTGCCATTTGCAATGCACGTGGGGATGCATTTTGAAGGGGATGAAGGGAACTGAGAGGATCCCAGAAGTCTTATTCCACAGGTCTTCCCAAGTATTTTATCTATCATATTGCTTCTCCTACAAAAGAAAGCCTCCATTCTTTACCATACCACCATGTTCAACAACTTCTTGTCCATGTGGTTAGTATAAACAAATACATTCAAGCTAACTCAGACCCTTCAGTCTGCACAACGGAAGAAGAAACACTGCATCTTTCACTTCCAAGCTCAGTAAGTTTAACTTCAAAATCTTTGCAACCAGATAAGGAGACTGAACTTAAGAAGTTTGCAGGACTCAGATAAGGAATCTTCTAAAGCTAACTCAACTTTCATAAGTGACTTCTGTCAGGCTCTGCGTACACTGAACAAAAGTTAAATGTGTACTTCAGTGTGAATGGTGATAGAAGAGACAAGGTCTAAACTACACTGTAAGACAAATATACTTTTACACTACAGACATTTCTATTTGTGACAGATGTTCATTTTGGAGTTAAAGCGCCTTAGCAAACAGTTAACATAGAACAAAACAGATTTTTCAGTTGCTTAAGAAAGTAAGCAGAAATACCTTACTGTCAAGCTTCAGCATGACTCTTCCAAGCCCTCTGATGGGACGCGGTGCAAGAGCTTCCTGACGTTCTTTCACAAAGTTTTCAACAAGTTGCCACCAACTTTTGCAACGTTTTGCCATGAAACTCAGAACTCCAAAATGAACCACGAGTTTTTTAAGTGCCCAAGCTGCAACCACACGAAGGAAATAAAAGGATTAGTGATTTTCAGAGGAGCACCACAAAACTATGCGACTATGGAAGACCGTCGAAAAAGAAAGAAAAGGTTTTATTCTGCATTAGAAACCACCTTGAGAATTTTGAAGTGATTTTACTACTAATCTCCTCATTCACTTAACAGACACACTTATCTACACTGAATTCAAACTGCACAAGAACAGAAGTGCCCATGCACTGCATACTTAGGCATCTAAGATTTCAGCAAGGCCTAAGATAAGCAGGTGCCAATCTGTGATTCCAGTACAGTGGGTTTATCATACATTCACATACACAGCACAGATATCACGCTTAGAACTTATTAAAAGATTTAATGTAAGAGAAGTTCTTCACTCATTCCTTGAGTTCCAGGCCTTCTCTTCTGCTAAAACTACCTCTTCTATCAAGAGACTGACAATAGATCACAAAGTGAGTATACAAACCTTCAACTGAAATACAACTACTGATGATTTTTGCTTTTAAACATTTAAAACATTATCTTGAGATCAGCTCTGTATCTTGGTTTGAAGATCATCACAAAAAGCTTCAGAAAAAATCTACACTGCTCCTCAAAACCAGATAAAAGAAATAGGTCACAGAATGGTTTGGGTTGGAAGGGACCTTTAAGATCATCTAGTTCCAGCCCCCTAGGGCACCTCCCACTAGGCCAGGTTGCTCACAGCACCATCCAGCCTGGCTTTCAATGCTTCCAAGGAAGGGGCATCCACAGCTGCTCCGGGCAACCTGCTCCAGTGCCTCACCACCCTCACAGTATTTTCTCCTAATATCTACCCTCTGCCACTTCAAAATCATTTCCCCTTGCTCTGTCGCTGCCTGCTATTCTAAAAAATCCCTCTCCAGCTTTCTTGCAGGCCCCCTTCAAGTACTGGAAGGCCACTATAAAGCCCACTCAGAGCCTACTCCAGGCTGAAGAGCCCCAGCTCCCTCAGCTTGCCCTTGTAGGAGACGTGCTCCACCCCTCTGATCATTTTCATGACACTCCTCTGGACCCACTCGATGAACAACTCTTCCCTTTCCTTTTGAAAAGAAGAGTTTTCCTATCACAGATCGCTTTTCTCCGATATTTCTAACGTGGATCCACTGTACTTAACAACATTAGAAGTCTAGCATTACAGTTAAGGAAAAAAACCACACAGGTATCTGTTTACTTCCAATAAGATACTGCCCAAAAACTTCCACATACGTTTTTTTCTAAGACATCTCTGTTCTCCTTGCTTACTGAGTATTTACTCAAAAACTAGTAAAAAAATCACGATAAAGAATGTGAAAGCAAAGAAAGAATACAAAACATACATACAAACATACAAAACATACAAAACTTACAAAACTTTACATACAAAACTTTCCTCAGAAGCTAATGGGCCTTTAATATCCTGATTTTTTTTTGTCACATTTTTTTTTATTCAACCTCTGTAATACAACTGATTTTACTGGAGTATCAGTGAGAACATATAAGTCGCTAAAAACATAATATGATCCTATATATCATATTTACTGCAATATTTGATACTGAACTCCCCATCACTAGATTCAAACACAGTTTTTAAAAAGATTTTCTTTCTCCAAATTAGATGCATTGCTTACTGCCACACTTCCATACTACAACAATCCTCCCGTCACGCAAAACACTCCTTACATTTCTACTTGGAGATATCCAAAATGACATCCGTGGCCCCAAAGGCAAACTTCTAACACCCACGGGGCATTTATCAAGGTTCCACAAAAGCCTATTACTTTAAAGCAATTCAGATATATGAAGAGCTCACTCAACAATTCACTGAGATTTGGTTTGCTTGCCTCTGGCACCATCATGTGGCAAATACAGGATTTAGCCTCTTAAATTAAATAATCTAGTAAGCTTTCTTACAGAGATCATCAGGTGAACAAACAGGAGAAAAGCGCAAGTGCCAACCTACAGCACTTAACTTGTAGGTTGAAGCTTTGTATGACAGAATGCCACTGATGGTAAATACACTGATGGCAAACCAGGGAAAGTTTGCATTTTCAAGAAGCAAGTGACACATTTGAAACGGCGTTCTAAACTTTTGCTGTCATTTAAATACAAACATTTGAACAGTATCTTCTAAAGTAACTGACTGCACACTTTCTGCAAATGGGATATCAACAAGTCTAACAGTCAATCACACAGCTGAAATTACAGTAGGATGAAGAGTCAAGAGAAAAAGTGAAATATATATTTGACAGAACAAGCAAGCAAATGAAAGACCTTAAGGCAAGACAATACCAGGCTGATATCACTGAGCAAATGCTACAGAGTGTTCCACAATTTGGTTTATTGCTTAGCTTTTGAATTCAAAAGTCATCCTTTCACCTTTTCATTTTGTGGAATAATTACTTTCTGCCCTCTACATCAAGCAATTTTAAGAGCATCTCATTCCACTGAATGAAAAATTATTTCAAGGAAAAACATTAATGGTTGCAAGATATTACTAATAATCTAAATGCTGTTTCACATGCATCCTTTCTACTAGTGTGAGTTATGCTATCAAAAGTAACCCCTTCGAACTTCAAGATTTGTTGTTGATGACGTTTGCTTTTAAACATGCTAGAAGCAATCTTCTCCAGGTCTCTGAATTTAAGTATATTTATCAGCCTTAAACTTGGAAAGTTGCAAGAAAACTTGCTTTATATGCCCTGCTATTTTCCACTACTACGTATTTTTAATACCACTTCTCTTTTATTAAACTGGGTTTATTCCCATCTGCTTTCTCACACTTGATGTGATCCACTGGTATAATTTCAGCTCTGTTCATCATTATACTGCCTTCTCATAACATTTTTGTGGTGATAGAGTTACATTCATTGTCTACGGCTAAGAAAAAGCACTTACTGCCCAGTGTTTCTCATAAGACAGCAGGTCACAAAACATTCTCAAAATTAATTTCTATTTTGGCTTGAGTTTATTGCTCAGGTAGCTGATTTAACCTTAGGGACTGGCAACAGCACTATTCATCCATTTCAATTACAGATTCGCACTCTCATCTAAATTTGTCTGGATCAAGCTTACAACCAACCACCGTTGTCTGCCTAACTGCGAAATTATTGTGCCCATTTTCCCCTCCCACACAAGCAGTTATTTCCAACTATTACACCACCCTTGAGATTTTTAGGAAACTGCAGAGTCTATACTGTCTTTGTGTACCAGGTATCAGAGTGGCCTCCACAGAAAGAGTCCAGGGAAGAGTACGAGGTGGTTCTAGACAGCTCCTCAACAGGCCTAGAGCAGACCACAGCTGAGCCACATGTGCTGCCTCCATGAAAGCGTTTTTAAGAAAGAGCAGAAAATGCTGGAGGAGAGGAGGAAGGAACATAGAAGAGAACAGGGAGGAAATGAACAGAGAGGAGGAAGGAACAAGAAGGGCAGAGGAGCAGAAGCGCCCCATTAGAGAGCAGGCGCACCAGAGGGACAGCGGTGCTAGCCTACATGCCTCAGTGTGGGCAACACAGCCTATGGATAAGCCTACACTGGAGCACAGGGAAAGAGTAAGCAGCTTTGTGGTACTTTTGCTGCTTGCTGGACCCACCCACAAAACATGGAAAAGGGGTAAATAGTATTAGATGCATTGAAAATGCTGATAGTTAATGTTTAGAGAAAAGCCAAAAGAAATCAGGGAACTCACTTTGTTTACAGTTGGGGAAAGGACAATTCAGATTTACAACAGGCCAGACTTATTTCTAGAGTTCCTATCTTCCCTATCTACCCTCCAAGAAAGGCTACTGGAGTGGCATTCAGCTTATAAATCACTTCCTCAGACATCTATCAAATATTCCATTCTTCTTGATATGTAACAGAACAGATGCACAGACGTGAAGTGACAAAGCCAACTAGCCTGAGAGCTAGAATTAGAATCAAATTTATCTTGTGATTTGTTCGCAGAATTTAGCAACATATTTTTAATGGAAATTAAAATAGATGTATGAGTTGTACTTCAACAGTGAATAACAGCAAAAATATTTTCTGTGAATACATACAGAAACATTAAAGAGAAGACATCAAAAGGAAGAAAACAAAAGTACTCCAAACCAAAAGCATTCCTACAATCTCAGGTGTGGCACTAAATTGTTCCAGGTAACGTACATAGTAACAACAGTCAACAGACAAAGCAATTTTACCATGACAGCTGTCCACTACACGGTAACAGACAGCCCACATTAATCCTATTAGAAACTACAGTTCATAGATAACATTGATGTTTTTGAACTCTGAACACCTGAAAATAGAAAGTCATTTAAAAGCTTTAAATTTTAAAAAGCTGTATAAGCCTACAGACCTTTTCTTTTACTTCACTTTACACAAAGTCTACAGCTATCCAAAGTCATCATTTAAAAAAACACGCACAGTAATTTTATTACTACCTGCAAAAGGCACTGGCAATAGCTGCACAATCCATAAATTTAGCCAGATCTGGACAATAACAATTGCCCACACAAGTGTAACGAAGTAAACATCACTAGTCTTCTTTTTTTTAAGAAAAGAACCAATCTCAGGTCTTTGTCTGTTCCCAGAAGAGGACGCAGAGGAGAAAGATGACGAAGCTTGTGGAGGTGGATCACCTTCTGTGGCACCTAAAACAAACAAAAGCAAAGAAGTGGAAGTTATCACATTAAGCTCCACCGCAGAACAGAATATTGCTCCCTACGGCCAGCTTATCCAGTTGATGATTTTGTGTTGTTGCTATTTTTATTTCTTTGTAATTTCACTAGATGACAGGAACAGCTTTCACACCAATCTGTGACTTGAAAAGCTAGAACAGGGCTGCATAGGCTTTCCCAAATCACGCATCACCATGTCAGACAGTACAGGGAGGAACAGAAAAGAGATGCTACAGCCTCTAAGAGGCCTCTTATTGCCACACATTAATTCAAGCTAGATGTACTTTAGCAAATAACCACAAAACTCTGGAAACCTCAGGAAAACAGAAATTTTTGTATTAATCTTTTCAAGGACTCCTTTAAAAGAAACTCCTTTAAACAAAATGCACAAACAAAATGAGAATCTTAAAGAGTGTCTTCAGGTTCTATAAAACCTTATTAAACGCAGTCCATAATGTCTTTGTAGATGAGAAGATAGGAAACTCTGTATTTGTCCTTTTTCTATTGTGAAGGGAAAGAACAGCAGCATTCACAAGCCAAAAAATACAAAACTGGCTAACTGCCTCAATAACAAAAAACAGAACAAAACAAAGGAAAAAAATAAAAAATAAAAATAAAAAAGACACCTTTGTGAAACCGTTGTAGTTTGCTTCCAGCTAAGAGGGAACTTAACAATTTGAAAACAGAAAAGAAGTTGTCTTGAAGAGGAAAAGAAATTAAAACTAACGCGTAAGTTAAAAAAGAAAAAAAAAACAATAAAGAAAACCACAACCATTTACACTATAGATCTATGGGAGACTGACTCTTAACTGTATGTTCAAAATCCAGGCAAAAAAACACCACCCACTTCCAAAATTAAATGTAAGAAAGAGTAATAAAAGAAGGCTGCCACACAATGCTCCATTCTGAAATTTCAGGATATGTCCATGGTGTTCTGTGCTTATTTTCATAATAGTCTTGTAAAATGTAGAAATAAAGATGAGAAAAGAGTAAATTGTCCACAGTCATTTTCATATTTAAAAAACAAGTTTGTTTTCAAGTACAGTTTACACTGACATATTTAAAATTTGGAAGGGTGTTTGTTTCAACAACAGATTTCTGAGAGATTGCTCTACATCAACTGTTTTCTACCCATCTGCTGAAGTAACTTCTTAGCTTCACAAAAGGCACTCTTTAGACATTCTTAACATAACACGCTCAAAGGATTCTCTCTTGCACACTCACTATGTTTCCTCCTCTTCACAATTCCCTCATTACAGAGGATATAAAGAACATCCTGTGTTCAAGTAGACCACTCAGACACAACCAATTTCAAGCTGATGCTTTAGAAGCTTATATTCTGTCAAGTTGAATAACCTGTTTCACAGGAAATTGATGAAACCTTTCGGTTGTCAGGTCTCCATAATAGCTTATTTTTCAAGTATCCCACGCCATTCCATAAAGGCGTACTCAGAAAAATGATGGTAAAGCTCAAAACCAGTGATGGATATCTGAACATCCTCTTTGCAACATTTTGAAGCCATTTCTTATAGACTTCTGTTGTTGCAAGTGAAATGTCATGACTCAAGCTACATCCTCAAGTAAACTCACTAAAGGAAAGACATTCATCATGCCAGCTGAAAAAGACAGTGAAGTCTTTTTGTCACTGTGATGTACAGAAATTTTATTCTTCTCTGCCTGTACCTGCTCCAGTTATACCTTGTAACAGACAACAAATCAAAGAGAAGAGTAAACAAAGTAAATAAAATAATAAAGGCAAGGAAAAAATGTCCTCATTCTGAAAATAAAATTTGCTGGTTAGGTTTTCAAGATGCACAGACAGCCACATACTATAACTTGAAAGCTGTTTTTTATATATCGCCTTCTTAGCATTTTTTTCAAAACAGATAAATCACTTTGATAAAGTACAAATGTGCTATTTTGATACAAATGAAAAACAGAGGGCCCACTTTGAAATTCGTTCTTTATTCCCCCTAATTTCATGCTGTCAGAGCAAATTTAAATGTCTTCTTACAGAGAATTCAGTCACCTGAGGGTTGTGAGGAACGTTCACTACTGAATTCATCTTCTGTCACGGAAATTGCCATGGCAATTGTTGACGCAGCAATGGAAATCATCTGACCAGGAAGCTCTGCCCCTGTAAAATATATGCATATGTAATTTAAGAAAAAAGAAAAACAAACAAAAAACTCAAGTCTTAAGAGGCTTTATGTGTTTCTTGATATCCACTGAAGCTGTCAAATAACACAAATTATACTAACAGATACTGTTAGTTTTTAATATGTCTTATCTATAGTCAATGTTATCAAACACGAATGAATGCTATTAATTTTAGTACTACAACTGGAGGCAAAACACAAAAGCAGTTATTTACACTTCCCTTGCTAGAGAGCTGCTACTGATGAAGTCATTTGCAGTTGCTGACAGTTCAGCTAATCTAAAAATCTCTACAGCAGATAGTTTTACTAACCAAGATGATGATGACGTTCAGGAAAGCAGTAACAGCAAAACAGGAAAGAAGTTTCCTAAAGCAGCCATACAACTATTACTGGATAGGAACAGATGACATTTCTTTATATCCAAAATTGATTTGCAACAGGAGAAAGTTATTTTTTCTCGAAGTCTAAACACAAACCATAAAACACACATTAACCAGAAACAATTAGATAGGAGAAACTTGCTGGATGGAGTTGTCTCAATTTCTCTCACACACAGTATTACAAGAGCTATTAAACCCACACTGATCCTTTCCTTCAAGATTAGCCTTTGATTCCCTTTTTCCTGGGCTTTCTTTATGCTTGAGGCTTTATATAGGATTCTCTAGTGTTAAATTATAGAAATATATTCTCAGCTGTAGTTAAGGGGGATGGAGCTTGATAACGAGTCACTACTTTGCTATGAAAAGGAAACTATCCATTTCAAAGATTTTCTGTAAAAAACTGAAGATTCACTTCCGCCCACATAAACCACCTTGTTATAAATGTGCTAAAATCTTCCAGTTAATTCTTCCAATCGACATGATATTGAATTTACAGTAATATAATCCCTGTTCTCAACTTCAAATAGATAGATTCATTTCTTACCAGAAGATTCCTTTCCATTCTGCTGGTCATGCAACATGCCTACAGTCATCAGAACAACTATAACCAGGAACACAGGAATTCTCCAGCAGCCTGCCACAGAAGCTGAAAAAGACGGTATTTTTAAACAACAAAAATGAGACTATTAATAATCACTACATTTAGGAAAACCAAGGTAAGCACCCCACTAACGAAGAAAAAACTAGGCAGAAACTGTCATAAAACAATGACTGTTAAAACAAATAAAACATGATTCTTGCATTCCCATGGAGGAATAAGAAAAACAGGTGAGCAAGTTTCTCTATTAATAAGCCAAGCTGTTACCATGCTGTGACTCTAAACTATGCTGATACATCTAAAATTACATTAAGACATACATGAAGTAAAAACATTTCAGAAATCAGAGGCAAACCAAATCCCCCTTCCTAAAAAGAAATGGATCTATTTTAGATCTCTAGAGTGGTTATCAAGCAGTGCCTTCTTGGGTTTCAACTTTTCATCTAGCATTTCCAGAAAATACAAGACTACAAAACATAAGCTAATGCAAAATTGCTATCTGCAGCTACAAACCTCAGCAAAGCATGTCTATGTGTTCATCACAATCCCTGAAACTTGCTGCTAAAGCAAAGTAAATCACGAATACGTTCTGAAATCCTTCATCATTATAGTCTTTTATTATTTGCTCAACACTGTCCCCATAAACTCATATGATAATGTAATCTGACATTCTTAAACATGTAAAACAATTACTACAGTCATATTCTATTATAATCTTGTATTTGCATCACAGATTACACAGACTACCGATAAATTTATTTGCTACTTTTGATACAGACTTGCTTAATGACTGCTGACACAGATGGGCTTTCTTGCTTCTAGTACTACTATTAAATGTATTTTACATACGGACACAATAGAAAAATAATTTGTTACTCACCTAAGTGAAAGAGCAGCATGATCCACACAGGGACAGAGACTGCTTTCAGGTAACGCTCGGTGCTTATATTCCACTTGAATGAAACCATCAACAGGTAACCAACTACCAACGTCCATATCTGTAAGAAAAAGACACACAGGTATGTACACATACACACAGTACAGCTGTAATTGTGCACACACACCTCTAGCTGCTGTAGCAAGGAGCTTGATGTCAGGTTCCAATTCTGAAATGTAGGCTTCTTAAAGAAGGATTGAGCACAGGACTTCAGCCTGCATGCAAGAGGAGTGCAAAGTCGGTGCTAAGTGAAAGGAGATAAGGCCACACATGCCTTTGGCCTGACATCAGTATGGTCTGAACGTGAGAGGGAAGACACCCTTTGCTTGACAGAAACCCTGAAGGAGGTTATCCAGCAGAATCCAAGCACCTGCTCTGGAACTACTAGGGAAAGATCAGAGTCTAAATACACAGGACCAGAAGTAGCACCAGTGGTGCTTTAGGGGACACAGAGCCAGCAGAGCACCACTCAGTCCACCGCAGCACAACTTGCCAGTTTCTGTGCTCCAGCTCAAAGAAATAACGGGGCTTTATATCAAAGACTGTCATTAGGAAGGACAAAAAAACAAACAAAAAAAAACGCCTCTCCCCAGTAGCTTTCGTTCACAGAAGTCATGACTTTAAAACTCGTCACATGAAATTTTATCAAAACTCATTTTACTGAAGCCATAAAATGGTTCTGCAGTAAAAAATTAAGTACCACTACTTCGGTTATGTTACTTGTAAAAAGCAGGTATAAATCTGCTTATCAGATTAATGACGTGAGAGAGAGAATTCTATAATTAAATCTTGAAGAATTTTAGCTTGAAAATGATGAAAAGAAAAAAGCAGAAACCATAAAAGGCTGCAGGAGATAGCTGATGCGCAGTAGAGATGAAATAAGTATGAAAACCTGCAGAAAGTTTCAATAGTGCGTTCTCCTTAAATATACCTCATATGTGTGAGATACTTCTGCCTCAAATTCAACAAAAAACATTCTCTGATTCCCTATCCATAACCAGCTAAGAAAACCTTTGAATTCCCATTCATAAATTCATAAATCCCAACAAAGCTTGAACAGAGCAGCTTTTAACTGCATTTGCTGAATCAGACTTCAATGCAAAAGCTAAGAATGCACTGGCAGAGGCAGAGAACAAGCAATTAGGCAGAAAAGCAGAACACAGTGAATGAATGAGCATTCACCTCTACTCTGCTTTATGACACGGAAGAGGCAGACCCTCAGTGAAGGAGTCTGTGTGACTATTCCAACAAAGACTAAAACCTAAAACTTATTAAAAGTCCTAGGCATGAAGATTTGAAATAAATAAATAAATGAATCAGGTTTGACCCACAGCAGCATGCTAAAGGCAATACAGGTTTTCAATCAAATTCATCCAGAAGTCATATTGCAGCACAGCTGCAAGAGATAACTCAGTTCCAAGACAACGCCCTTCTCCTAAATGCCAGCCACACAACATCTGTGTGCACATGCCATTGGAGACAATTTTTAACTTTTAGTGACAAATTACCAACAACAGACACGCTAAGTTCAATCAGTGAGATTTTCTAATGAAAAACAAACCAAGAGTGGGAGGCCAGATATGAGCCTATGGTTAACAGCCAACAAACCAAAACATGCTCCACTGTCTCTGGCTGGTTCAAGAGGTTCCACCTCGGTGATACCCTGGTGCGATCAACTCACCATCAGTTTACCTTACAGCGAAGCACCTCTCAAAACTCAGTAGCGCTTCCCTACGCTACAAGGGGCACACTGAATGGCAACTACCCCAGCCTCCTTCCAGTAATTCATGGCTGAAAGCAGCTGACAGAGCAAATTAACTTACATTGACAAAGAACAGGATTTTATCCCTTTCTTGGCAACAGCTTAGTTCTGATTTTTGGAATTTTTTGTTTCTTTAACTCTTTAAGTGCCTTCGTTATGTAATTTTTCCCTCTTTTTTTTTTTTTTTTTTTCCCCCAAATGGTCTCTAAACATTTTGGCTATGAGAACAGTAACATGACCATTGCAACAACTGTCTCCATGGAAATGAAGAATAACAGACACTGTGCTTTCACTGAAATTAAGTTTAACTGTGGATACACAAGCCACCCTAACCCACAATGCACACAGATGTGATTTATGCAGGCACAGTTAACCAGGTAACTAATGCACACTCTTCAGGTACTGCAAAATACAGTAGCTACCGTTAACTATTTATTAAACAGAAGTCAGTCATAGATGCCTTTCACCATCTACTCTGCATTTTAAATGCTTATTCGATCTCAATATTTACACTAATGAACAACTCCCATATATCAGCATTTAAAAGCTTTCCCTCTTCCTTCCTTCATTTATTCTCAATGTCTGAGCAGACAGAGACCTCCTTCCTCAAATCTTTCTTGCCTTTTCCAGCATCTTTGCTAAATGAACAAAAAAGTTGCTTTGCTTTCAGACATATTAAAACCAAACATATAAATAAGCTGTATAGTTCTCTGAACAAACAGTTCTATTACTGCAGAGCAATTTCTGTTATTTCAGCATCCACTTTTGGGTTACAGCAGTAACTTTGAAACAGCTGATCTTTAGTTGCCTAAGCGAGTCTGAGGGGCTCCAGTTCTCTTTTAATCGCCACCTGGAGTCAAAACTACACCATAAAAAGGCTGCAGCTTTTACATTAAGCATCTCCTTTGGCGTTTTGATTTCTCTTTTTAATCTTACTGTCAGAAAGCGTAAGATTTATTAGCACTTTTCAACCCATGTTAGCAAAAGACTGTTTTCAGTTCCAGTTAAAGATGGAAGAATTTAAAAATAAGAGAAATGGTTTGGCTCTGGCATCTGCTTTCAATGAGAATGAGCTCTCTTTCTCCTCAACTCTATACAGTAAATTCCACTATTTATTTACACAGCGCACTCTTGGTATCAGCAAGTTGATCTTTAAGGGAGAGGCTTTACAACTGAGCTCATTTAATACTTCACTGCTAGTGAAAGCAGCACTTCCCTTCTCTCCTACTGATGGAGATGCAGCCTCACCTCTCCTAGAGACCATACGATCATTACTTACTTTCAAAATCAAATTATAAATCAACGGGGGGATGTTTCCAAGCAAGCTGTCTTGAGTATATGCATATCTAGATTTCATACAAATCCTATAAAAACAAGGGAATTTCATCATTTAAGGCTTTTGCAATCATCAGCAGTCATTCCCCAAGCATGGAGTCTTCTCAGGCACTCCATGCTTGTTTTGCAAACTTTAAAGCAGTGTTACACCAGATGATGCCAGCCAAAAAAGAGATCTTGTGACATTATTTCTAACCTCTTCCTCCTCAAAGGAATGAATGATGGCAAAAGCTGAGCAGAAAAGTACATTCTTAAAAATTGAATCCATGTAAGGCATTACATGCGTCAATAAAAGCCAATTCTCTGCCATGACAAACATCACAATGTTTTCTTTATCTAATTGAAAATGCTTTTCTAAACAAGAAAAAAGATAAGGAGGTAAGTGAGGAATTATGGACCCATCAGTTTTCAGAACTAGAATTGCCCCTTTCAGCCCAAACCATTCTGTGATAACAATGGATATTTTAAATATTATCTAAACAAGTAAATGACATTGTGATTTTTTCTAAAAAAGTGCAAGCAAGTGTACACCTGTGTTATTTATTCCCTGTACTGCCCTCACAGGAATGGAAATTTGCATCTGTTCTACTTCTAGAACCTCCAGTTATGATATATAACCATTTAAATACATTGGATTTTAACATGCCATGACTTTTAAACCAGATGAAGCAGAAGCCTGGTGCTCAGCAAAATTCCAACTTTCTGAGGTGACTCAACTAGGAACTTACAGTTGGAATTCTGAGTCAGGAAGGAACTGACCTTCAAATCAATACTGTCCCGCACGAGTTAAAAGCATTTTCCATGTCTTCTGCAACATTTCCTGTGTCATGAATGTAAGGAAATACACTACACTAAGACACAGAAATCTGCAGCTCTGGGTGCTAACACTTCCCTCCTACAATTCACGTTTCCTATTTCAGTGGAAAAATTACTTATGAGAATCTTTGTTAATAAAAAGCTATTCAGGAATCAAACTTTTCCCCCAGATAGAGAGTGTCTCATGATGCCACTGTAACCACAGATGGAGCTTTAATTTATGTTAACTTCTTCTTGTTTTATTCCACAGAGCGCAGCTAAAGTTGGTCAGCTCTATACCAACATTCCTTTCAGAAGTGGAATAAAATAAATACTATTGCGTTCAAATAATAAATACAAAGAAATATCCATCTTTACGTGGCGTTCATTACTAGGCTCAAGATTTGCATCAGCTTCAGGCCTGTAAATCACTTCAGGCATGTACATCTAAACAGACTAATATGTCTTTTCAGAATAGGCAAGTCCTGGAACATTCTCCCAAAGCTGAGGTGGATATGGAGGAAAAGGTGGAAAACACTACGAACAGCCTAGTTTTTTCCTGCTCCTCTCTATCTTGTTTTAAATAGGACACTACAAAGTTATCTCTACCATGTTTTGATAACAAACCTGAACTTTGGTTTTGGTAGCACGCGTTTACAGTCACTTCCTGACTGGCTGACTTTACAGGTTGTCACACCAAAATACCAAAAGGATGATTACAAACGGCAAAAAGAATACTTCAAAAATCAGAACTGCATTTTTCTCACTTATAGTTATGCCAACATTCTAGTCAGATTTAACCCTCTCCTTTGCTAAAACAGAAATTGCCCAGTAGGTGAACTCTGCAAAATATAGACGCTCTTTCTTCTCTGCAAGTGATCCCCAACAGCACTACAGAAGCAGAACATTATAGATGCCTGCAACCCCAAATGTTTGTCAGGAAGCACATTTGAGTATTTCAGTCTGACACGGATGCCTTAAGGACTGCTGACACCTAGTGCCAGCACAATGGTGTTAGCCGTGGTGGATGCCTTTGACAGTTCCTTGACAGAGAGAATTAGACAATCGTCAGGCGAAGACATACAGCACCTTCTTAGGCAATACGCCGTCCAACGTACTGGTCACAGAAAACCGTATTTCCAGATTTACCCAGCACTGTAGTGAGGAAAGGACCAATTAGGTCCTCTTACTGCATGCTACTAGCATAAAATGAGTTGTACCCAGTGTGTTCAGATACAGCCCAGCTAACAGTTTCAGAAACCTACAGTTACACACAGAAGACAAACAAGACATATTTCTGAACCTCATCAATAACTTATGACAAACCACAGAAAAAAGATTAGCCATAGGACAAAGATCTTGACAGCCCCATAACCAAATTCACCCTGGAGAATCCTGGCCATTATTACCACATCGGATTTAATTTACTCAGAAGATAAATGTCAGAGTCAATGTAGAAGGGCTGTATAATTCATTTCATCCGCTGGGATGTTTATGGGAAACTAAGCATTTCCTAAATAAACACAAGCATTTGACTCCCAGTGATAGATAAATAAATAAACAAATAGAACCAAGAGCATTTCCTGTACAGCACTGCAACTGCAGAACGTCAGGATAAAGTAACTTGAATTGTCATCACAGAGCAGAAAAATTTTCCGTGCCTTAGTATAGAGGTGGATACAAGATCCCTCTTACAAAGCTACAGTGGATGCAGCAGGCCAAGATTAGTCTTTAAACAGTGCGAGAATTCTGAGGGCAACTACTGAAATTGGTGCAGCATATAAACAGGTATACATGAGTATATACAGATATATATATATATGTATATAAACACGGCATCATCAGTCTGCTACGGAACAAACTCCTCCCTGTTTCAAAAAACATACAGGAAAACTTTGTTCTTCCCTATTAGGTTACTTGATGTTCACGTAGAGCACATATCCTCTACATAACAGGCCCATCAGTCTCCTCTATTTCTCAAGCAAGCTTTTTCAAAGAAGGTGCATTAACTGTACAGCGAAAAAGGAAAGGAGATGGTGGGAAAGTGACGCTTATAGACTAGCCTAAGATCCTAGGCTTATTCTCCAAAAGCAGGATTTTACAACTACTTAAAGAATGGAGCCTATCATGATGGGATCTGGGTTCCCAACTCAAATTGCAGAAGTGACAAAGAAATCCCAGACAGGAATGCAATCATTTCTCAATCTTCATTCGTCAACACTGTGAATGGCTTTTCCAGATTTGAGGACAACAGCACCAGAAATCTCTGCAGTGTACCGGTGCCAAGATGCAGTTTTCTATGTCACTGTCACATGCTACTCCTGCATTTGGAGAACACTGTTCTGGAAATAAGAAATTTCATCTCTGTATCATGGCTTAGTAGGTATCATAGTTTTAGAACACTAAATGGTACCCAAATAAACCATAATTTTCTCAGTGAAATTCTAACAGACACTTCTCACTCCCCTAGTACAGCAGAGGGAACCAGAAAGGTAGGAGAGAACACTGGACGTTCATCCTCTCTGCAACTAGCAGGGGCAGCCAGGTGGTGCAAAGCTCCCAGTGAAACTAACTTTACACCTTTGCTGGAAAGAATTGCATGTGCCTGGAGCACAAACAATCACAGTTTGTAAGATAAAAGCTGCCATAAACAACTGCACACTGCTACCCAGATGCAGCTCTCACTGTCAAAACCAGCCACACTGCAACAGGCATTACTGTATCTTTTTTAAGCTTTTACTAAATTATTTATACATTATGTTTCTGGCAAAAAAAAAAAAAAAAAGTGTTCCCTACTGGATAAGAGAAAAAAAATTATTTATTCTATATTAAGTTGTTGTGTACTGAAGTATTTCCAAACACAGAAATCTGGATTGGCTTACCAGGCTGCTAAAATTAAGGGCAAAAAATGAGATGACCATCCCTTTTGCTTATCACAGAGTATCTACTAACAAATTTTCATGCACAATAATATAGAGAAAGAACCATTCAAATCCCAGAGAACAATGGAGCAAACTGACTTGCAATATGCAAAACTCCTGTGTAGCTAGCAAGCAGGCCATGCACATGCAAACATGGTCCTGCAATCCAACATGGAAATGAAAACTGGAATAGGAAAACACTACAAAACGTATAGAAGATGCCTGGCTGAGCAGAGGAAATTTACAAAGGGGAGTGCTGAGTGCTTGTACAGTGTCTCAGTAAGAGAATCATACAGTGCCACACCTCCACGTTTCTCGAGCACCTCCAGGAACAGTGACTCCACCACTTCCCTGGGCAGCCTGTTTCAATGCCTCACCACTCCTGCAAATTTATGTTTCTTAATTACCCAACTTGAACCTCCTCTGGCACTTTGAGTCCTATCACTAGCTAGCTTAGCTGGCTAACTGGTTTGCTTAAGGAAGACCACACTTAGCTCTTCTGACATGAACCCCATGTCCTCCCAAGGAACTTGAGGCTTTGTAAGTTCTGGGAACTTCTTTTTTCTTCCCAGTTAAAATCTTACAGCACTTCATCAAACAGGAAGGTCACTTCAGAAGCACCAGCACAAAGCAGAAGAATCAGATGCAGCCAAACAAGGCACAGCCATGGGGTAGTGCACTACTTAACTTCTTGCAGCCTTCCCACACCAGCCATCGTTACAGTGCGATTAAACAAGTCCAAATAAGGGACTGGACTTAGCCAAGTCACACAGCCTAGCAACAACACATCTACATAAGACGTTTGCCAACCCAGAGGGAAATCTGAAGCTTAGCAAGGCAATGGCACAGCAACTAACCAAAACTTCCAGTCAGTACTGACAAGTCATGCTTGTGTTCCTTCACCACTTCACCGCAGATAAATGGAAACGCTCGTAACTCGTCTCCTTATAAAAAAGAGAACGCCTGCCTATCCTGCCTACTCAGTCTTAGCCACACTCATGAGGACTAAACACACCTCCCCGACACTTTCCAGCACGCGACAATAATTCGGAGCAGAAAGCCACGCGCATCCCTTCCTCCCATTTTCACACGCTCTCCAACACCACAAACGCACTGGTGTAAGCGGCTCAAAGCAGCCGGCGGGACACCTGCCAGCACACACGCGCCCGCCTTACGGCTCCCGCGACCTCCGCCGCGCAACAAGTGAGATGGCGCCGGGCCGCGCCCAGCCCCGCCGCCGCCCCTTCCTCCTTCCCTGCGGCCCCGCACTCACCCACTGGCTGCTGAAGTAGTCCAGCCCCTGGCAGATGAGGCGGGCGGCCTGGGCCAGCAGTACCTGCACGCCCAGGGAGCTGCCCAGGCAGTACAGCCCGTAAAGCAGCGGCCCGCCGGCGCCCAGCAGCAGCAGGAGCCGCCGGCGTCGCAGCACCTGCTCGCCCAGCGCCTCCACGCCGTAGTTGGCGAAGCAGAGAGGCAGCAGCAGCGCGGCCAGCAGCACGGGCGTGCGGGAGCGCTGCAGGCGGCCCAGCCAGCGGCGGCCCAGCGCCGTCAGCGAGCTCTTGAAGGGGTGCAGGAAGGTGCCGCACAGCACGGCCCACAGCAGCGGCCGCAGGAAGGCCTCCAGAATGAAGTAGACCAGCACGGCGGCCCCGCAACACAGCCCCGCGAACAGCAGCGCGCCCGTGTTGTAGAAGGCCTGCTTGATCGGCTTCTCCAGCCGCGGCAGCGACATCCCCGCCGCCCCGGCCGGGCCGCCCAGCGGCAGCCGCGGCGCAACCGGCGCCGGGCCCTCCGCCCCTCCGGGGCAGCCACCCGGCCGCCGCCCCGTCGCCGGAGAACCCGGAGGGGCCGCCGCGGACTCTCCGCCGTCAGCCATGGCGCCCGCCCCGCGGCTCCGCTCCGGCCGCCGGTGCCAGGGGGCGAGGCCGCCGCGGGAGGCGAGGGCGCGGCGAGGCGGCGGGGCCTCTAGTGCCGCCGCGCGGCTCCGGGCCCGGGCGGGGAAGGGAGTTGCCGGCGGGGAAGGGTGCCGGGAAATGTAGTTTTCCTACAGAGGAGCCCGCGGCCGCGCCCCACCGAAACGCGGCCTGACGGAGCGGCGAGGCGAAGGGGAGGGCGGGAGCCCGCCGCGCCTTCTTTCCCTCTTGGGAAATCGCCGGGCGAGGGCTGAGGCTGCCCGGCTCGGCCGCGGCTGTTACTGAAGAATCAGAGAGAGGAGTGAGGTGCAGCGCAGCCCAGCGCACCTGGGCTCGGCAACTCGTCCTCGGCCCGTGCCCTGCAGCCCCCTCGCAGCTCCGTTAAGCTCTCTTCCGTTCCCAGCATTGCACGCTTTGGGAGCAGGTAATGCTTCACAGTGCAGCGTCATAGCAAAGGTGGAGAGCGAGACAGGTCAGAGCTATTAGAGAACTGTTCTTACCTGAGACCGCTCTAGCAGCAGGCTGTTTCACTGTCATCTGTGCTTTTACTGAACATTAAACTCACCAGAAGTAGTAACGAGGGGATGTTTAGACCTGACATTTGTGATTTTGTGTTGCATATCATTTTATTTATTTGTGAATAATATAAGGAGGAACTATTTCCCTTCATCAGTTGTACACCAGACAATACATGAGGTGCCAGCTAGTGTTATAGAGACAGTCTAAATGCCTCTATTAACGTGATTGATCTGAAGGAGCCTTTTTGAGGGCAGGGATCCACTACTTTTGTAGCAGGTGGATGTTGTCCAGCTGCTTGCCTGTCACAACTTTGAGCAACCTTCAGCAGGTACTGAACCTATTGGCAGTGCCACCACAAAGCCTCTGTAGCAATCCTCCTGAAAGTGAAATGCAGCAAGGTCCCAGACTGGAACAAGTCAGGATTTGCTCAAAATGCAACAGTCACAGAAACAAAGGAAAGGATCTGCTTACCTTTAAAAGGCCTCAAGGTGTTCAGGGATCTCCAGCAAGATACCCTTGCTTCCACTGCCAATACTTAAATGAGGTCTGGGAAGGGGTGGATCCTGGTTTCACCCCTTCCTGTCACTCAGATGCATTGCATGCACCTGAACTCCTCTGGATTGGCCCTGCCTTCTCACCAGGTGCTCAATCACTGCTTCAAGATTTTACTTAACATTTCCACTACACCTCTAAAACATAGAGTTTGCATGCTTCTGAGTGTATGAAAAGTGCATGCCAACTGGAATTTGATTTTGTTCTAGACTTTTTAGGATTTGCATACAAATGTAATGTTATGTAACATGATGATAGATTTGCAACCACCAGGACTTTGGAATGTTTCTTGTGCAATGCAGGCTGCAATTACCTTGAGAACAATTGTTTTTAACTCATAAAATGGAAATACATCTGATCATAACCCAGTTTTGAAAGGCAAAGCAATGTAAACAATCACAGAATCATAAAGATTGGGAAAGACAATTAAGATCATCTAGCCCAACCACCAACCCGTCCTCACCATGTCCACGCATCATGTCCCTCAGTGCCACATCCATGCAGTTCTTGAATGCCTCCAGGGACAGTGACTGTACCCCCTCCCTGCCCAGCCTGTGCCAATGCTTCACAACTTTTTCTGAGTTGCTGTTTTTACTGATATCCAACCTGACAGCAGACTATTGCAGAAACCTACCTGTGTCATCAGCCAGGGGAGGAAAGTCGGGGCTTTTTCCACATTTCATGTAACTATAGTGCATTTTACAGCTGCAGGTGGGGCAAGGCCTGCTAGTTTCCCGGAGCTTTTGGCTTTACGTTCCTACTCTTCCATTCCACAAAGGCTTTGCTGCCAGTTACATATCCGTTACTGCTTACAGAGGTCCCTCTTGGCTCATGCAGCACCTCATTCTCGTTTGCCAAACAGACCCCATGCAGGTTCAAATGGTTTAAATTCATGCAGTGGAGGCATTTAGAGACCTACGGGCACTTTGTTTAATCATGATGGTGCATTACAAGCAGCTGTCCATGAGACAGCTGTCCAAGAGAAGCTCTTATTGCACTTTGAAATGATACGCACAAAGCAGTCTAAGGTGACAGCTCAGGGAGGATCTTCACAAATACTACTGAAGTTCTGAAAACTTAATTCAAGAACAGACTTCAGGCAGTGATTGCAGCCTTAGCACCCGATTTTGTTGAACAGTGTGCTGCAATGCGGTATTAGTTTAGACAGCAATTTAGATACAGATTGCCCTGGCACTTTGTGTTTTAAGGACTTTTATGGCCATAGGTGTGTAGTGCACCTCAGGGACCTATATTACCAGAAATTCTCCAGCACTGCCTTTGGATGTGAAGGGTGAAGAAGACAGAAAACGAGTGCTTTTTGGCCATACAGAAAACGTGTGTGCCTAAAAGTATGTATGTGGTAAATACTGACAGTCCTTGATGCTCTCCTGCAGACAGTAATATAAAATGAAATATTATCTCATGAATAGATAAACTTGTAACTTCTGTCTGCTGCAGCATTAGTGACTACGTGTGTTGAACTGAAGCTTTCTGAGTGCCCTTTGAAGAAATCCATAGTTCTCATTCACTTGGCATGCAGTCAACACAGCTGCAATTGCCAGGCAGTCTCAGATATGATACCAAAATACTGGGTACTGAGGTGGCTGAGAAGCAGAGGAGACAGACAACATTGGCAACAGCAAGTTGATCACGATTCATACCTGTAATAAATGCACAAAATTATGAAATCACTCAGAAATAAAGCCAGCAGGTGTCAGCACTGGTCTGCACATGTGGAAAACAAATCTATCCCTGCTTGGGAAGCTGTTCTTTATTTTTGTTTTTAAACCTGTATAGCTGAATAGATGTGTACATGCAGTTGGGGATAATTTCACTTCATTAGCTCAGTTTACTGGAAAAGTAATATCTTGTTCAGATGAAAAAAATACTTAATGTAAACGATGACCAGTTCAGCAAGAGCTGGACTAAAGAAATAAAATATACTATAGTTTATGTTACAGTTCATCATTCAGACATAAACTTTGTATTTATAGGTCACTTTGTATTTTAGCTAAAGGAAAAAAAAATTTTTACGCTGATCAAAACTGAAGCATTTCTTCAAACATTCAAGAGCCAATTTTTCTTGGTGACTGATACAGGACCCTCTCCTCTCCCTTTCCAATCTCCAGCTTTATTTTAGCATTATGTTTTGGCACTGCTTCAGGAGCTGCTCCATTTGGCCACACAGCAAGGCAGTGATGAAAATCAAACACCCGTATATGAAATATTGGTATCTTGATTATACTTGCATCAAATACATTACAAACATAACAGAGAGGTCACCACAGAAACATCTACATTCTATTTAGTTACACCAAATGTCAGCTGGGTTGATTCGTTAAAATATAGATAATGTCTTTTACTTACAGCTTCACAGTGATTCAGATGGTGGAAAAGAAAAACATAAGTAGTCTCTCACATCTGTTATTTTGTTATTGTGACCAGGCTCACTGAATGAAATGGAATTACTCAGGGTAATAAATTGAAACCCATGGAACAAGAAGGAATTATTAACACAATTAAAGGCAGAGAAGTTTTTTGGTTTTTTTTAACCTTTTACAAATGCCATACCACACTCTTATTAGACAAAAAAAAAGCATTTATTATAACAGATTTATAAATATTGTATGTCACTGTTAAATAGCTAACAAGGCTCACTTTAACACCAACGTTTAGTATAAAACAGATGTTACAAAGCAATCCTTTAGGGCATGCATTGATTGTAAAATAATCCCATAAGTCACTATCATTCCATTATGTATTCATCCACTATTATTTTTATTCAAGAAGACTGATGCATTAATATAAATAAGTTTAAATGCTCACTGTCTTCAAATGGATTCTGGGTATTGGCATACAGAACTGAGTCTAGTAAAAGAAAAAAAAAAAAAACACCAAAAAAAACAGAACACCACTTAGCACTATACTTACAAGGTGCTTCTGTGTATCAGACCTAATTTTCATCTTGAGAATGCTGAATGAAATCAAAAGGTGCAGATGACATTTCAGCTTCAACCATTACAATTTATGTAACACAAATCTAAGTGGCAAGTGTTAATGTAGTTATGACAGTCTGTTTAAGTGCTAAGAAGTTAAAGCAAAGCAGATCTCAGACTATATTAATCAGAAATGCCAAGACATATCTAGCATCTGACTTCACCTAAACAGAACTCACAGTGCTTCAAATACGTTGACAAAATTTATCTTCCTAAATGAAGGCTGGGGACATCACTGAGAACTACAATCCCATTTTTCTAATGAAGTTAATAGGTTTGGGATTCCACCTTTGACTCTCTGTCAAGACTTGAATGATACTGCCAGCTTTAGTGAAATCTGGTCATTCTCACAATTTCAGCTTTTGTCATGGGGTTCATATCACCATGAAAAAACAGAAGACCATTGTTTTATTATTAGGTGAGCAATTTAACATTTCAGTTGCAGACATGGAATTTGGGGTTTAAACAATACGGGTTTTGCCTCCTACATTTTAAGTATGACATCCATTGTTTCCTCTGCAGTTATCCTGACAGTCTATATGAAAATATTTCCTTGATTCTTTAGTATCTTTTTTTCATCTTGTTTGGGAAAAAAACAAAAAACAAAAACTCAAAACAATAATAATGTGAGACTAATTTTTTTCCACTGAAGAAGGCAAGAATATATTAAAAGAGCAAATGTGATCCTGTAACAGGCAACATCACCGTTTTCATATATATTCTTCTGTATCACTGTCCAAAAATACCAACTAGGAGTAAGGGAACATGGAAGATTTTCTGTTTTGTTTTAGGTTTTCATTTGTTTGTTTTTATTTCCAAAATACAGTCTAACCTTGTGTTTTTAAGCCGTCTTATATAATTTTTTTACATCCCTTCAACACATTTAGTATGCCTAAATATTGATTCTGGGAAGAATATTTTTCATTCATCTGGTTGTGAAAAATCAATAATATTTTCGTTCCTTTGCATAGAATCTAGGTGACTTTTCCCCATATTTAATCTTCTACTGTTAGCAACTTACAAAATTGCAACTGAATGATTTAACAGAGAGCTCTGAGATTAAATTAGGTAACAGACTGCAATCACTTTGCCATGAGTAGGCATTGAAGCCATAAAAGATTTGCAGCTGCTTAGCACATTTGAAAAATCCAGTTCCTTCCTTAAAAATGTAAACATGAATTTGCATTAAGCAGCATTTAGAAACAACTCAGAAGATTACTGCTAACAGGCAATTCTGTAATGACCAAGCCTATATAAATAATAGCACAGTACTTTTAAAGAATGTTTCTTAAAAGTGTCATATAAAAATTCCCCTTGTAAGGACACTTTTAAGTGGTCTCTAATGCACATCAGAACTGGTCTATACTGAGCAGTAGCTTTTATACAAACATGGTCTGTGAAGTTCTCCCCATGCTCCCACCTCACATCAATATGAGCAAGCATCCCTGCCTCTGTAACAAACATGGAAGCAAATTAGGAATGAAAGCTATTGAAATTACTTGGCAATTCAAGGGAAAAAAATCTGCCCTTTTCCTTATAGCAGTTCCTTTGCTATTGCCAATGCAATCACAGATTTTCAAAGTAACTTTTGTTCAGTATGCTTTTTCACATCTACAAATTCCACAAGATGCATAAGCCCTCCAAAATTACACTGGTTTTACCTCACTACCTGTACCCAGACGGGAGAAATTAAATAATGGAATATAAATATACATAGTTTTATCAAAACTCACCATAAGATAAACTTCTGAAAGTTACTTTGGTGATTATTTTAATAACAGGTATAGAAAAGGAAGGTTTATCTAGATCTTATTGTATCTGCAAAAAAATCAGACACTCAGACATATGAACTTCACAGAATAGTTAGCAAAGGATAGAATAGTTGGCATATGGTAAATAAATAAATAAGCTTACACATTAATTTTTATACTCAGAAAATAGAGATTTTCTTTAGATTGCCAACAGGCTTACAGTTAGACCCCTGTCTGTGCTGGGCAAGCTGTGGAAGAACTATATTAGGCCCTAACACAATGCTACAGAAACCTTGATAATGCAATTTCAATTAGGGGAAACAGACAATGGGCAAATAAAGCTGTTAAGATTTAGAACCTCCCCTCTTCTGAGACTCAAGCAGTCTGTGGTAGAGCCAGTGAGCAGGTACACACAGCATCCAACTGCTACAGTCACACACAGGATCCTGGCCTTTCTTCATACACCTCTAAGGGCAAGATCAAGCCTCCCACTCAAATCTTGGAGCTTTTTGGGAGCACACATCTCAAGGCATAAGTTGGACTTTTTGCCCTTACAGCAGCTGGGACTGCAAAATAGTTAAATTCCTGTTCAAGTTAGATTCTGTTGCTTCTTTGTATATCAAGTAAAATTTCCATGTGATTTACATGCATTTTTGCCACATGTAAAGTCATGCAAAAATAGAAGTACAACAAAACCATGAGCTCCTCTTCATCCTGCAGTCTTAATTACAAAGTCTACACTCATCTGTCCTGAAGTATTTGAGGTCGCCTCCACATCATCATACGTTACCCACGCAGACTGTTCCACCTGCTCACCACATGCTGTGGCTCAGGGTTGAAATGGAAGGTGCCATTTCATGCAGGGTGGGCACATACACATCTCTGTGAAGCACCAGAACAACTGTATTACTGAAATATGTTTCTACTTCTACTATAAATGTAAGGCTCTTCACCAGCTGCACTTTGTGTAAAATATTTGCATTTTCACAGTAGGCATCTCTGAAAAAGAGCGATGCTAAACTTTTTGTAATTCTGCCTGTGAAAGAAGTTTCCTTCTCCTAAAGCTGTTACTGAGTACTTTTCACTGGGAAACCGTTTGGAGAAAAAGTGTAAAAACAACATATCAGTGTGCAATGTATCGGTGTGGCAGGGAGTCACAACGTTAATTTACACGCTAGTAAAATGAGTAGGTTTATAAATGAGCTCCACTTCTGCCTCTGGAGTGCCAACAGCTAATGTTCCCAGAAGAAATCAAAGACCACAGGTCTATGCTCTAAAAGGAGGATAATTTACTTCTTTTTAAATGTCTGATGCAGTATAAGGACAGGAAAAGTAAGGGGAATAAAGACTAAAAAGAGTAACGCCTCTTCCCTCCCCCCTCGACTTACAACAGTAGAGAGAAGTGGACTATCATCTACAGTGCAGACTTCTAACTGTGACCTGGCTGTTCGGGAAAGCAGCTTTCAGTCCTCCTTGCCTAATAACTCCTCTTCACAGCGGGGCTAAGACCTCTCAGGATCATCAGATGTGAACACGGGGACAGGACATAGGCTATTGACAAGGAGCACAATACTTTTCAAAGGAAGACATTAACACAGTCATAACACCATTTCACAGTAGTCACTGAGCACAAGGAGAGCTTTTCTTCTTGGTCCAGTCTTAGGATATGGCAACCCAATCAAGCTTCAAAGCTACTACCCAGGCAGTTTGCTAATGCATGCATTGCTCCAGTTACTCTCTAATCTTTGCAGTGAAGACTGCATAAGTCAGTGCCAAAAAAAACTTTCAGAACTTTTAACCGATTTGGGGAGTTCGATTAGGGTAGCTGCAAGTACTTATTTTCCTGCTACCCAAATATTGCAGTGTCCATCAATAAAGACAAGGGAGCCTCAGAGGGGTTTCAAAATATCTATTTAAAACATTATCTTCCAGAAACAGAATAATTCGCTTTATAACTGTAGATGAAAGCATCATCCCGTACCCAACGACATTCTAAAATCGGTTAAGCTTTTATTTGGGAAAAAATAAGTAGCATCTAGAAGTGTCTCAATTATCCATAAAGTTATTTGATTCCATTGAAGGAAAGCAAACTTTATAGAGGTCTTTATTCTCTGTTTCTTTCTCCTGTGCCTAAATTATGGTTAAATTAAATTATGCCTAAATTATTTCAGGCCAAACTTGGTATTTGTAGTGGAGTACCTGTCACACACTACAGTCAAAACACAAGGTCCCTTTGTGATAGGCACCATCATAAAGAAGCTGACTGCTCCTTCAAATAGCTTATGAACTTTAAGTATACAAAGTTATAGATAAGACAGACTGCGTGAGCAGAAGGTGTTAGGTTAACGTAACAAGCTATGGTCAGAGCTGAATATGGTTCTGCATGGAAAGAATATATTCAAGATTGCTAATTAATGCCTTATGGTCCTTTCCTGTCTTGTCTTTCTAATTAATTATCTTTGTTATTAGCAACCAAATCAAATTTCCAAAGACCACTGTACTGTAAACCTTTCTAAAGCCTCTGCTTCTGTGTTACGTTACCCTGCAGCAAGTTATTCTCACTCTCAAAATTAAAGTGCTTTGGAAATGTGTTATTTAATAGCTGCTTATTGGTAGTCACCATAAAGAATCTAAAAATGATCCAATTTTCAATTGCTTTGAAGAGAGCTACTTTGTAGTAACTGTACAGCAGGGATCAATCCTACTTTTAAGCATTAGGAAAGAAAATATGAAAAACAAAATACTTGCCATGTTCACTTAAATGTTAATAATTATTAGTTATCATATTAAGCTAAGCACCAATGAATTAAAGCCTTTTCATTTCTCTCATAGCCTTTTTGTTCTCGTATTTACTCCCAACTACCCACATCCAAGTGCTTGTACCTTCTTTGTGTTCCTGAATTTGGAAAGCTCACAGTCCTGCTTTTCCTACAACTCCCAGACAAAGTGCCACAATACAACAAACTTTCTTCTATGAAGAAAACAAAAAAACAAAAAAACAAAAAAAACCCCACCACTTATCCTACCTCCTGATTCTAATTTATCGTCATTATTTTCAGCATTCAGTTCTCCTTAAACATTCTGCTGAACACTTACAGAATGCACAGTTGCTTTTCTAATACCTGTGAAGCAGTATACAAAATCTTAGAACAGTTTACCAGGGAGTAATAATAGCTCAGCCATAAATGTAAATGCCAAATAATAGATTGCTTGGCTGCTTGTTGTGGACTTTTATTTCCTCCCAGTTAATCAGAAATGCTTAATTAGTGCTAATTAAGTATTTTGAAGCTCAAGGATCAAGGTCATTTAGAAGTGCATATCTCTGCTAATATTTCAAAAAGAGAAAAATACAACAACAAAAACACCAGACAATGCTTAAAAGTAATCTGGGGGGGGGGAAGGAACTGTGTTTCCACCCTAATTTAGAACATGGGTACATCTGTGGCCTGAAGCAGTTTATGCTTTGCACTGGGCATTCCCATAAGTGGCTGTGCTTCAGCTCTGACCTCACTATTGCTTTAGAGCCTGAACTTTCAACCTTTACACAGCTCTGACTCCCTGCAGCGTGCTTTACAGCGCAAAGCAGCAACACCTGTGTTGTACATTTACCTTGGTATTAGTACTGCCATATTTAACATATGTCTCTGCCTAGGTTTAACCAGGCTATCCCTAAGTGCAGCACTGTATTACAGAAGCCCAAATGGGTTTCTATCACACTTCAGTATGCTTCAGTTATTAGATTAGCCTTTTAGTGGGTAATCAGAGAAATGCAGTAAATAAGGCCATAAACTAAAGTAGCCCTGAGGCTACTTTGAGTAGCTGTAATTTCAGAAAAGGGGCTGTGGTATCTCAGCTCCCTAAACTGCCTATGCTTTAACACAGGAGAGAAGGAATTAGCCCTAATAACTTCCTCACTTCACCTGGCTGCTTACTATAAAACTCATTATCCAAGACTTCAGCTCTCTGTTTCTGCTAATCTTAGACCTCTGTTTTACAATCATGAATGTCCAAAGCTGACCTTCCTTATCAGGTGGCTTCCACTACATATTTTATCAGATAGTGAGTTGGCTGTTCAACTTGTGGAAGGTAATTTACACAAAAGAAGCTACTATATGCACCTTCAGAGTTCACTTCAATTTGCATTATTTTCACCCCTATTCAACCTTAGTCCAGCAATTTTAAGCAAACATATCCTTAAAGACATCAATGCAAATGTTACATGTCTCTGAGAAATCTTTCTCTAAAAATGGCAATAAAGGAGTTTGCTATTCTTTTTCAAGCCTGTTTCACATACTTGAAGAATTGCTTTCAAGAATGTAGAGCGTAAAAAAAAACTATTAACTTCATTCCATGAAGAATGATGCAAATCCAACAAAGCTTGTTACTTTTTTTGACACTATACAGGAATGAAAATACAAAGAATGTCTATCACATATTTTAGCAGATCCTACATTACAGAGTTCTTAAGTGCATCACATTAGAGAGAAATTTGGTGCAATAATGCACGTTGGGAAACAAATGTGCAGCTGTACCCAAACACACTCAAATGCTACACCTATACATGTCACGTGAATGACAGAAATTCTCTACACAAATTCAGTTTTCAGAACATTCTATGGCTCAAATATATTTTGACACTTTACAGTTTGATAATATTTAGCATTCATCTTTGTATAATTTATCGGTGATAAAAAATTGAAGTGCATTTCCTCTTTAACCCATCTTTTCCACTGTAGCTACGTTTCAGCAATGATTTGATGAAACAAAACATGCTGATCTTTTTATTAATTCCTATCTCTCCTTACAAATAATCTCAGTTATATTTCCATTTCTTTGTAAGCAAATATCTGCTGCCCATATTCACCTTTAACATGAACAGGATATACAAGAATACAACACAGAAAAACAGATTTCTTGGTACTACTGCACAACTATTTAAAAACATATTTACACATCAGCAACATTACTACTTTTAAATTAAAAAAAAATCTTCATTGATTGGGAGGATGTGCTATGGCTTGTTAGAAACTTCAGTGTTCTCTGTGGCTTACACTTGCTTTTCCTATGTATGGAGAATTCAAATGACTGCATTCTCCTTTCCCTTTGTTTACATAATGTAATATCTCACACAAGCAGATATCTCACACAAAACAAGCAGGTATTTCTTTCAAGAAGGTTGCTGAAGCACTATTGTTATAAAGACATTGATCATTTCTTTCCATTAAAAAAATCCTGTTCATGCTTGATTATGCAAGGCTAGTTTTTGAAAGTATCAGAGCAAATAAACCTTGATCAATATTAATTAGAAAAAAACATCCTACTATCCATTATGGAAGGGGAGCTTTTTTACTGCAGTGTCAGCATCCTGATCCTAAGTTCAGAAACCACACTTGGACTTTCTCTGCACCAGAAGTACCAAACGGCATTATAATATTTTCCCAAATTTGCTTTCTAGAAGCGATCTGGAAGGCATTTTTTTGTTATTTGATAAGATGTGCATCACGAAACTCTCCTAACCACACATACAGACACACCTCCCAAACACACCTACACACACACACACACACACACACGCACTTATTTTACAAAAGTCTTTGTTAAGCAAGTAGTCACAACACTGAATATCGTCTCCTATTTGTTCATTCATTATTCTTAAATGATTTGTCACCACTCAGCCACTCAAAAGATGGTGATTTCATTCTTCTGAGAAGCTAACTATGTTCAAAAGCAGCTAGATGACAATGGTGGTGAGATACAAATTCCAATAGAAATATGCATCATCCATCATATATCCAACCATCCTGAGAAACTTTCACTGGCAAATTCTCGTTACTTTCCAGAGTTCAAGGGGTTCCCATCAATAAATAGAAGGTCAGTGCAACAATGAGGAGCAAACAGAATGGAGAAGAGAAGGTCTGATAGGCAGCTGATGGCATGAAAATATCTTCATACTTGTAAATACTGACCACACGCTCTGATACAGGTGGTGAGTCTATATCGTGACGAGTTATAGAACCTATAATAGGCAAGGGCAGAAAGAAATAACATCAGCTGCATTTGATTTCTAAAGATTTATCAGACAAATAGGTAGAAAGACTTAATTTTCATACACAGAAGCAACATTACAATGTCAGTGAGTAGTTATTGCTCTGATTTCTGAAATTAAACTTCTGAATAAAACAAATGACATTCAAGTAAACAATAATCATCCTTCAAAGGAATTCAGAACTTCCAGTTATGATCTGTCCTAATTTAAGTTTAGCTTTGGAGAGCGGGAACAATAGCTGCATAACCAAGAAAATATGATATGTAGGACTCTGCTAGCTATCTCACCTTCCTGTTTCTATATTTTTAAGATTGATGTTGCCAAAATTTTAATTCATTAAATATATAAGTAAGAATAACGTCACTGAAAAACATTTATCTATTTTGATACCTAAGTTGTCAGTAGCACAGATATCAACTTACCCTGAATTGCTGGACCCCAGGCAAACAGATAGTACCAATTCAAGTGCAGATCTACAATAGTTTCCTCTCGGGGAACGTATACAGGACGCTTGAATCGACAAGTTACACGATTGTTTTCAAAAACCCCCTCTTCATCTCTAGCAGGATTTCTCTGGATTTCTTTAGCCCACTGACCAACGTTGTAAAAGTGCTGTATTCGGACTCTTCCATTATCATCATGAACACAAGCCATGACATCATCTCCTCCCTACATGGTAAAAACATTTTTGCAGAAGGAAAACAAGTGTCACAAAGCATCTCCTCATTTATTTATACAACTTCAACTATTAGAAACAATCAAGACTTGGGTCTCTCACTCCCTTCTTCTAAGTTACAAATACAGATATTCTTTTCCCTAGAAATGTTTCTTCATTCAGGTTGAACAGCACAGACTAAATACTAACAATTACTTATTCTTTCTGCATTCAACCTAACATACACAACACATTTATAAGGCATAATATCACCCTGACATCACACAATGGACGAGTAGAAGACTATTTTCTTTCATAATGTGTGATTTTCTGGGATCTTGCTTCAGTACAATTGGTGGTCTTGATTCCTTTATGTGTGCAAAATCTACTGTATCAGAATTGCAGACAGAAAAGCAATATAACTTAATAAGTTAGAGAAGATTAATCTACTAAATCTGTATAACTATTATCATAAACTACAGCCTGTCTTTTCTAATCTCATGTTCACTTATGATAATATAACTTCTCATTTATCTTAAGAGAAAATGATCAGCAAACAGTAACAATACAGAATATTGTAGAATACAAAAGATTGTGCCCCTTCCCATCGTATAAACTACCAATCAAAGAAACAAGGGATAGAAAGAAATGTGAGGCAATTGTTTGTGTTAGTCATTTACAGAAACATTAAAACAACAACTGTTTATATAGTTTATATAGTTTATATAGTTTATAGTAGAATAGTTTATTTGAGGTAACTCAAAGTTGCAGAGCACTGCATCACTCAGGTATTAATTTTAGGAGCACTGTCTTGTAGATGCCTTGCTGTCATGAACCATTAAAACACTGCAAGTTTGATGCATGCACTACTAGGTATCACTGCTATGTTAGACACAGGTCCTACTCTTCCAAAACAAGTCCTACTGATAGGTCACACTGATGCCACAAGCAGTGCTCACTAGCGTGACCATCTGTCATTTTGCTGTTATGGAGAAAGGAATGAAAAAGGGCACAGTGCATCTCTTAGGACTATGCCTATGAAGGCCTTTCTGTACCTAGTATTATTGCAGGCTAACTTTCCAGCTTTGGTCTTGAGCCTATCATTGCTTTCAAAGTTTTTTTTTCAAAGTTTAATTTTTTCTTTGCCTCTGAGTACCAATCTCTCATTTTTAAGTACAAAGAGGCAAAACAAACAAGCAAACAAAATAACCAACAAAAAAACTGTTTCCACATTCAGAAAAAAAAATAATTCTGCACCTCATTTAACAGAATGACATTACAAAATCCTAAGTAGGCACAAAAGCTTGAGTGGAAAACTGTAATGTTATCTGAGACAAAGAAATAGGTCACAGGAGTTAAAAAAATCTGACAACCCAAAAACACTTTTTTTCCCTTGAACTTTTTGGCTATCCAGGCCACAATGTTTTCATCAGGGCCTCCACAGTACAGCCCCTTTCTCACAGCAAAGCTTTTGTGATGTAAAGTCATTTCATCATTAAAGTATCCCAGATTCCACAACATCTTCAAGCTACGACAAGGGATGAGGTCAGCAGGGGAACAAGAGAGAAAGGCAAACACCAGCTGTTTTAGTCCAGCTGACCGGTAGTTCTCATATCAAATTTATAATGAAAATCTTTCAGCTTCCATTCTTATTACTGGAAGCTGTGACTTTACATGCAGTTTGGTCCATCCACCTGGGCTGAAAGGTAACGTATGCTTTAAAGCATAGCTAGTGTGTCCCAGGGACTATCATACTGTACAGACCTTCCAGCCACCAAGCACAAGCACAACTCTGTCTGCTCAGGCAAGCTCATGGGCTACAGCACACATCCTCATGGTTGGGAACTGTGCTTATGCCACCTGCCCTGCAGAAAGTCATGTTTCTGACTGAGGGCTATCGTGCAGGCAGGCTGAGTAGTTTATCTGTGCTCCTGAATAAAATGGGAGGGAGGAACTCAGAGAATATGATGGGGTCAGGGGTGGGAACACAAATGGGGCTGCATTGGATGAACTGCACTCACAGGCTGAATGGACCTGAAGTCATGGGACAGGTTGGACTGAGTGGGCTTGCAAGGGAGCACGGGGAGGGGAAGTGATAGTGCAGTGCAGAGGATGGTTGAGAGGTGTGGCAGAGAGTCAGGCAAGATCACATTGAGAAGGTTTAACTGTACTTGAAAGCAGTTATTTCTCCAAAGTCTGACTAACCATTGAAATTCAATGTCTTTGCTTTGAGTGGTAGTACAGGTACACAGGTACAGGTAGTAAAGGAGTTACAAACTACTAACATAATCTCTAATAGCTTAGGGCCAAGTATTTAAAGTTACTGACCTGCTTTGAAAATCCTATTGACTACTTGTACTTTCCAGCATCCAAACTCCTCCTGGTATTTGGCTGTAAAACCATACCTCACAACACTCTTTATGACACAAAAGATTGCTCTCTCCATTGTGTTTATTTGCAGCATCATACTCAAGACATAGTTACCGATGAGAGAAAGGCACCTGCCCTCATATTTTCTTTCTGATTCTCATTTTGGTCTGATAAAATGTTGTTAAGTTAGTGTGAGTCTTCCCATTGCCTCTCCCAGCTCTACAGCAGGATTTCCACGTTTTATACTTTTTCTGACTACTGCTTACCACTGAATAAGAAAGTACTCTCCTCTAACTAGCATTATAGAACAGACTCAGTATTCTTCATGTACTCAGGAATATCTGCATGTGAAGACCAGTGTTATAAACTACATTTTAATCCTAAGCGTGTTACAAGGATCACAAAAAAAAAACATTTGCAGAAGTTGTCTATTGCTCAGGTTTTTTTTTTATGTCCAAACAGTATATGTGCCTCTTTGCCCAGCGAAACACAACGACAAATAAGGCTCTTCACTGAACAACCAAGTAGATGAATGACCATAAAACAAAACTCAGTAAAATCCAGGAGAGATAGAAGAAGAAATCCTAACAGGATTGCTTTCTAGAGTATGTATCTAAGTGAGCAGTAGTCATTTTGTCACATATTTGTGGCTTTCCTGGAATAAAACACAGAGATGAAAGAAACAAGAGGATTCCCAGAGTTTTTAAATGAAAGCCATATTTGTATCAGCAAAAGACAGATGATTTACTTAAGAATGGAACTATGTGATATTTAGTTCCTGATGTGCCTTTTGTCCAAGTAACACCAACATGAAAAACTCAACAGGATATTATAATAAAAAGACAAAAAGCTAATAATATTCAAACAGTCAAAGATAAACCAAAACACTGTTGTACTATTTAGCAAAGAAGGGAAAGGACATGCTACTAAGGATGAGGCAGTTCTGAGGAGACAGCAGACCTAGCTTCTGTTCCCCAGTGACTATTGGGTACTTTGCTTTCAGCAAGTCAGTTTTTACATACGTGCTCTGCTTCTGACAGATAAAACATAAAGTATTGATATTCTGGCATGCAAAAGTGTTCACATATCAACGTGAAGAACTTTAAGAACCTTACCATTTTCTTGTCTGAGGAAAATCCCACTGCTACCCAGCCATCGGTATCAGCACTCAACTCAAATTCAACATCAGCTCCTATTCTACGATAACTTAGGAAGTAGTCACAGGTCTCTGCATTACAGCCTGGTTTGCCGTACCTAAATGGAAATGGAAAAACATGCAAACTTGGCCTTTCAATTTCTTGCTGTAGATATTATGTTTCTACAAGAAACACTAAAAGAATGTACTTTGGTAGAGTGGTGGTAAAGCACAAATCACACTAAACTAAAGTAGTACTGTTAATTGCTTGCAAATATTACCTTTTTAGAATAAGAGCATATTATGTTTAATCGTAATGACAAGCAATTACATACACACAGTGTTACTGTGTTGAAATGCCGAGTCCCTGTTCTGTAAGTTAGCGCTTCAAGAAAACGCAAAGACCATAAATTAATCTAGTCCACAACTCTGATGTCCTTAAATAATCTCATTTACTTAAACAAAAAGTCCTACACTATAGAGTAGGTTCCCAAATAAGAAAAAAATATTCAAATGAATATGGAACATTGATCAAACTCTTGAATGCAATCAGTCAACATTTGCAAATGTAAAGGTACCTGCATTTTTATTAAAGACTGACCTGAAGCATCCCTTCGTTTTTCCACAGTCATCCACTCTGATTTTTGCAAATGGATCCACAGGAGGTGCAGTAGGGAAAGGGTAACCTGTAGAATGAGAATAAAGCATAACCAAAAAGATACAAGGAGAAAAAAGAAGTAACACTGAAGAGAAAGAGTTCCAATAGTGTTTACTTTGACTGGTGACAACTGAGCTGTACTGATGAGGGACTACCTTGTCACAGACACAGGCCCTCTATCAGTAGGTCCAGGATTGAGATACTAAAATAACATAAAGAAATGAAAACATTTCCTCAGGTTTGCAACATTCTTCAGGTGGGGGAGAACAGCGCTGGAGCACAACTTTGCTACAATGAGAGCAGGAAGCCTTCCACTGACCATGTAAGCTTTGGCAGCACGAACATGGAGCAGGGCATTCAGCTAAGGCTTGGGGCTCTCCACTCGGCTGGCTCTTCGTGCATGCTTGGATCCCTCGGAATATCTGAAAGGGAGAGAATTCTGACTTCTCAGCTTTAGGAATGGATACTGAAGGGATACTTTCTCCTTTAAGAAGTACAGAAAACATGCATTGAGTGTGGAAGGGAAGAGTATCAAAACAGGCAATGCCTGCAGCAATGACCTACAATTACTTGTGAGGTAAGGCACAGAGGAGACAGATAAGGAAGGATCTATGACTCCAGGCAATAGCTTATCTGCTCTACTGTAATACACTGAAGACATGACATGAACATCTGCAAACAGACCTTTCCTCTCATAGAATCACAGAATCATTAAGGTTGGAAAGAACTTCTAGGATTATCAAGTCCATCCCCACCATGCCCACTATGTCCCTCAGTGCCACATCTATATATTTCTCAAATACCTCCAAGGACTTCACCACATCCCTGGGCAGCCTGTGCCACTGCTTCTACACTCTTTCTGAGAAGAAATCTTTCCTAATATTCAACCTGAATCTCCCCTGGCGCAACTTGAGGCCATCACTTCTCATCTTTTTACATAGATTTTACAAATAGCCACCTTCAGTTTTGGTTCATCTAACCTGCAAGTGGGAAGGTTCTGTGTTCTTCTCATCATGTCAACAATGCACACCATAGGTTTTACTGTGAAAAATTTTCAATATTAAATATATGTTTTTCTCTGCAGATTGGTTTTGGATTGCAGAGGTTCAATTTCGTTCTATGAACATTGGTATTTTAATGTGATTTTAGTCTGCCAACTTAAAAACAAAGCATTAAGTTGTGAAGCCAGAAAGTGCTCTGAAAGTTGCAGGCTGCAGCATCTCCAAACAAACAGGAGCATGTGCCCTGCCCCCCAGGCACTGGGCTCCACGAGCCCTGATTCACCTTCTAGGTGAATCTGATAGTGCTAAAGGAGAGAGGAAATAGGCCATAACCCGCAAATTACAGCTTCCATTGGCCACACCATGAGCTAGGTAAAGCAGTCAGCTGGTTTAAGCATACAAAGCTAGCAACATTTCACAGCAGTTCATAGTGGAGCATCAGCACGAGACTGACTGTAGTACATCCCACCTTCTCACTGCTTCATTTTTTCCCACTTTATCCAAAATCTGTTTCGAAAAAGAAAAACGCGGCCGAATTTCTTGCCAGTCACGCCATCACACGGCTTTTTGACAATCCGATAAACCCCTCCATCACCCTTCCGTGCCGTCTCCCACACGACCGAGCGGCCGAGCATCGCACGCCGGCCGCCGCTTCCCACTGCCCTCGGCCGGGCCCTGAGCCCGTGCCCCGCCGCCCTTCGCTGCCTATGGGCCCGCAGACCCGAGGCGGGGAGTCCGCCGAGTCCGGTGCGGCGCGCGGCGGCCCGCGCGGCGGTGGCTGCGGGCAGAAGATGGCGGCAGGCGCTGGCCTTCGTCCTGAACGCCGCCGCCGCCGCCGCCGCCGCCCGCCCTGGCTCCGCGCGGCCCCCGCCGCCCACCCGCCCGCCCTCCCGCACGGCCGCCCCGCGGCGCACCCTCCTCGGAGAGGTAGCGCAGGTCGTAGAACTCGCTGGCGAAGGTGCCGTACGAGGAGTCGTGGTGCGGCCGCGCCGCCTCCTCGCCCTGCTCCCCGCCGCCCGCCTCCCGCCGCCCGCCGCCCTCTTCCGCCGGGCTGGCGGCGGAGCCGGCCAGGAGCAGCAGCAGCAGCAGCCGCCGAGCGCCGGCGCTCCGCACCGCCATGGCGGCGGGGTGGGGAGGCGGCGGCGCCGAGCGCGCCCGCCCCGGGCTGCTGCGCCGCCGGCAGCGCGGGGGCGGCGGGGAAGGAGCCGCAGCGGAGAGGAGAGACCGCCCTGGGGTCGGCGGGGGCGCGGGGAGGGAACGTAGGACGGGGTGTGGGACGGCCCCGCGTGGCGGCACCGCAAAAGGTCTCGGCGCCCCTGGAGCGGCGGGGCCGTCCCGCCCGCCTGCTGCACGCCGGGTCCGTGTGGGGTTGGAGGAGTTGTGAGGCGGGACCGAGTTACGTTCATCGCAGGTAAAGCAGCCGCTCGCTGGCAGCCGCTCGTTCGTTCTCGCATGGTGTGCGGCTTCCCCGCGGGTGTGCGTGCTCCCACCTGACGGGGCGGCGGGCTTCGCCAAGCCACCAGAGCCGCGTTGCGCCCAGGTAAGCCCGGGCTGGCCAGCGGGACGGCGCGGCCCGCGTGTGCTTCTGCTGCGTGGTGCCGGCGGGTAGCACTAAGGCAGCGGGCTCGCACACTACTTCAGGGCTTGGTTGTGCCTTCTGGTCAGAACTCCTCGCTTTTTAGTGGGGTTTTGCGTGGTTGCACTTCCTCTACTCTGCCAAACTTCGGGGGGTGATGGTGGGACGGTTGAACGACGTGCTGCAGTTGGCAGTACCCTAACAATTACAGTGACACCTTTCATTTCTGATCGCTGACGACTGCTTGGAGTTACTCTAAGGTGGGGCTGCTTTTGGGGTGAGTCCGTGCCCCTGGGCTGTCAGAGGCACTGACTGCTGCAGTGCTCCCAGCGAGCACCAAGTGCTCACTCCAAACAGAGCAGCATTCACTCAGGGCTAAAAAGTGCAAGAGTAATTTTGATCACATTCAAATTCAATGTGTTCTGAGGCAACCTATGTAAGAAGCTGTGGGAGAGCAGCGCCATGCTCAGATACAAAATAATGAGTCTCTTCTTCCCCTTGCAATGCAGTTTGGCAAACTTTGCAGGGCCAATGGAAAACAAGCAAACAGCAATAGAAAAACCCTTACAAATCAGGCTAATGGGAAAATAAGGCTGTGGCTTATTCTTTCCAGCAATAATCAGCTCTGATGAAGGCCCCCCATCTCCTTTTGGAAATAGCCACACAACTGCCATACTGCCTGTGAATAAGCATTTGCTCAGCACTGGAACAGCTGTCAGCTGTGTGCATTCTCTCCTCACTGGAAGCAGGCTTGAGAGCACTGTGCAATGCTTCACAGCAAAAGTAAACATGTGGGATGTTTATCTGCATTGCATGCACTTACATGAGAGCTATCATTTAAATCTGACAGCTGAGATACTGTCAGTGATCGCACTGGAGCTGTGCTCATTTACAAAGTTGAAGATACTGCTTCTGACCCTATTGTGTTTGCCTCCTTCCTGTTAAATTCTTTAAATTAAAAATTAAAACAACTCTTGACATTTTTTTTTTCTTTTTTTCTTTTTTTTCCTAAAACCTCACCTAAGCATTGTCCCTGTTACCAAAACAGCTTGCTTGTAGAAAGGAGTGCCATAGTTCGACTGCTGGAGCACTTATGAGGACCCTCGTTATTTCACAGAGAAGAGTATAGTGGCATTTGCAGCAAACAGGAGAATCCACAGTGCAACTAACAGCAATGCCTGTGTGGCAGCACTTCTGCAGGGAAGATCCCAATGTAATTGAGTAGTTAAGGCTGCCAACCAAAAATTATTAGCAAGAGTCTGTGGCTCTGTGGCGAGGTGGAGTCTGGCAAGTAGTAGCCCAGGTCTGGGGCCCTGTCCTATAAAGAAAGGCTGAGGGAGTTGGGCTTGTTCAGCCTGGAGAAGGCTCTGGGGAGACCTCATTGTGTCCTTCCAGTACTTGAAGGGAACTTATAATCAAGAAGGAGACCAACTTCTTATGTGGTCTGACTGTGAAAGGATAAGGGGGAGTGGCTTTAAACTAAAAGAGGTGAGATGTATGTCAGATGGTATGAAGAAATTCTTTACGCAGTGTAATGGGATGCTGGAACAAGTTGCCAAGAGAAGCAGTAGATACCCTAACTGGAAGCATGCAAGTCTAGGTTGGATGGTGTCCTGGGCACCCTGGTTTGTTGGCTGGCAACCCTGTCCATTGCAGCAGAGTTGGAACTACATGGTCTTTAAGATCCCTTCCAACCTAAGCCATTCTGTGATTCTATGAAACTGGTTTCATGAGCAGTGTTAATTCTTGAATATTCAAACTTTTGATGGGCTGTACTTTGTGGCTTGCACAACTTGGTGACACCTTTCCTGAGTGGGACATACAAATGACACATTATATATGAACTGCATGCTAGAAGGCACTGTGGTCCTTAAGTATGGAGCCACAGACTCATATCCTGAGTTGGAAGGGACACAGAGGGATTGTTAAGTCAAACTCCTGGTTCCAACATGACCACCCAAAATCAAACCCTACATCTGAGAGCACTGTCCAAACACTCCTTAAACTACAGCAGCTTGGGGCCATGACCTCTGCCCTGGGGAGCCTTTTCCAGTGGCAACAGGTCTGGTGATTTCCAGTGCTTCTTAAGCTATTATCTTCTGCTTCAGGGAGATCCAGTAGCCAAAATGCCTCTATGATTTATTCACACTATCCTGGACAATTTCTTTGTTTGCTGGTGCTCAATCTAGCCATCCATTCCCAGAACTGGAGGTCGGGATTTTTCTCACTCATCCCTGGAGGCTAGTCTCTTGATTCTGCATATTGCTCAAAATATACTTTTCCCCTGTTCATTCATGTTCATTCATTTGGGGCTGTTTGGACTAGAAATGAAAGCTTCAGGAATAAGTTACGGCATGAGTGTCCAACCTTTTGCCTTGCCTGGGCCACACTAAAGGGAAAGGAATTGTCTTGGACTGCATATACATAGGTTGCAGTGAAAGTAATGTCTCCTATCTATTTCCATGGCATTGATAACAAATACATACAGCACAATAACATCATTTAATAGAGCACATTCTTAGCTACAAAACACTATTTTTTCAGCATAGTCATCACCATTAACTCTGCATTTTTGCCAGCAGTGAACAAGAGTCTGAATGCTATGGTTGTAAAAATCTGTACTGCCGGAGGTGACCCACTGTCACTGTTACCACTTCTGAAACACCACCCTTTGCCTCTGTTGGTCTCTACAAACATTGAGCAGGCGTCAGTGAATCTCAGTGGGTGCAATTTTTTCCACATAGAGGGATTCAGTGATGACCTTTGCTCCACCTGCACTTCCATGTCAGATGCCATTTTGTTAGACTGCTCCTCTGCTGCCATCTGTCACACAGCAACAACATGTAATGAAATATTGGTGGGAAGGTGCTCTCCATGCAGAGCACTCCATGCTCTGGTTTCAGCTCTGTCAGGTTTAATAGCACACAGATGTTCAGTTGATGCTGAGGGGCCAGGCCAAGCCACTTGGTGGGGCAGAGCTAAACCGCGGTGATGGTGCAAGGCAGGTAGTGGGACACACTGGAAACCATGCCAGGCTGCATGTGACATAGGCCGCAGGTAGGACATGCCTGAGTTATGCATTAGATAACAGATGCAAAAATAAATCTTGTTTCAATCTCCAGTTTTTTTGTTGTTCAGGAGTGACTGTAGCTCTGTACTGAGGGGACTGGGAGGTAAAACCCTCTTGTCGTTTAACAACCTGACATGGGGAGAGGGCTGTGGAAAGGCCAGTAATGCTGGCAGAGTTTGAGTCCACTGAAACCTCTAATGTGTGTCCTCTGTGCTCATTCTTTTGGGATCACTCATCTGAAACAGATTTCCCCTCTGCTTCTGTGGTCAGGCACACGGGATCCTGCACCAGAAGAAGCAACTATTGCTTTCCTTCTTCTATCCATAATCTAATGGATTTTCTCCATTTAATTGTCCTCTTTTAAAAGGCTCAGCTTCCTTACTCAGCTCATGGCAGCTTATTACTGTTTCTGGTGTGCTCCCAAAACCAGAATACGGTCAAGTTTTTACAGCTTCTTCCTCAACATATCTATGCCTCAAGAAAAGCTCCTTAAACTTTAATGCTCCTATTTCCATCAAGTCGTCATGTCAAAAACTCAGTAGGTATCCACCAATGCTAATAAAACAACTCATGAGATAGCAGCATTCTTGCAATAACTCTGCAATAATCTCAACTGGAATTTGTAATCCATATGCTGTTTCCTCAAACCCTTACTACAGACTTGTTCAATGTGGTATATGTATTTGCCCTGCCAGTAAGTTATCTTAGGTTTCCCTTAATTAAACAGTAATACAAATTATAGAAATTAAGCAGTCACCTTGATTGCTTTGAGAAGAACTACCATGCTACAGTTAACAACCCATGACTACAAAACTCTGTAGTTGTGTTAGTGACTTAAATAAGAAAGAAAATATACTAGGAGTATCTTGCAGTCAGAGATTTTTCAAGATTTTTGTTGAAGGAAAAAATGTTGGGTGACAATTAATTAAGAACATCTTCTGTGAGAAAAACAGTGGTCATCTTAGAAAAACAAAGAAACCTAGTGAAGGAAAAGATGTGTGGGATTTCAGAAAGCTGCTAGGCAAGGGATGTATAAGGCTTTTGGAGGCATGGTACTGCTTCACATCTTTTGGAAAAAGACAAGAAAATGCCGACTCTCAGTATGTTACCATCCAAATAAAAACTGCTTTAGATCATTAGATCATCTTTTGCTTAGCACTGGTAAACCTTGCTTTTCCTGCCTACATGGAATTACATATCTGGTCTTGATCCAATGGCCATCATGCCTCTGCAGCCCATACTGCTCACAACAGCACTCTTTCTGTAAAATTAATCTAATGTGGGAAAAAAGCAGTGTCTCTGAGTTCTGTTTTGAACGCATAGCATGCCTCAATCTGAAGACTAAACCCTGCAGTTTTAGACACTAAATCAGCATGAGTTTTGCTTCAGCAAGCACTACGGAGCCTCCCCAAAGCATATGGAAATGGTGCAGGTTTTGTGTGTGTATGCGTGTGCTTATTTACATCAGGCAGTCATTTCTTTTCTCTGAAGTTGTGTTTTTTTTACCTCTCTGGCACTCCATGCCACCCCAGCATGAATGAAGTGCTGGGAGTTAGAGCTGCCCTGGAAGCCAGATCTACCAGATGGTGGCATAATGTGCACCAGGAGGTGCTGGAGCAAAAATAACCCCATTTTTATAAAGTCCTTGCTACAAAAGGCTATTTATAGCATTATTCTAATAAGGAGCCAAAACAGAGCAGCCTTTTATTAGAACTCGCAATAGAGGGTATTGCACTGAGGCCTCCCCATGCAGAAATACATTTAC